AAAATCAAGTGAATAAAAAATCTGATGAACGGAATAAACTGGTGAATAGAATCGAATCAGGGGCATAGAAAGGGAGTGGACTGACAATTCTCGGGGGGAAAGGGGTGTGGGGGGTGCGGGAAGAGACTGGACAAAAATTGTACACCTATGGATGAGAACAGAGGGTAGGGTTAAGGGGGGGGAACCAGGTGGAGGGGAGCTATGGGGGGAAAAAGAAGAACAACTGTAATAATCTGAACAATAAAGATTTATTAAAAATTAAAAAAATAATGAAAGTCCAGTCACTCAAGAGGAGACCGACTGCACTCTCTGTTAGAGGAAAGAGCAGCAGCAACCTTAGATGTTACCCCTAAGGGAGAATGCGGCAGTTCTAAATTCAAGCAGCCTGGAGGCCTGCCTGCTCCCTCCTCCCGCTGCCTTTTCGCCAGCCTCATAGGCCTAAACATAGTTTTCCAAAGTCTTTGGTAACTTAAAACTTTAGGACATTGATGAATTCAATACTAAAAATCATTAAATATCTAGGTATTTTAAAATGACAAAATACTGAAATATTAATCAGAGTTTGCCTCATATGAAAAATCTAGAGGATAGATTTGAATCTATTAATTAAATACGTATTGTATTTCATTTGAAATAGATCCTTAAAATATAAGTATATTACTAATCTAAGAAATGATAAGTATTTAACTTGCCACCTAAAATTTGAGGCTTCTAAGAGTTTAAAGTTTAAATTAAGTTGGGAGAAATTATATGGTTATGGGAACAAAATGCATAAAGTATAGAAATTCATCTTTGAGAAAAATAATTCTTGTTTTTTCTCTAGAAAAATTAGTAGTTCAAAACATATTGTAGTCCTTATGTGTACTGTGTGTGGTAAAATTTCAACCTAGGATATAATATTTTATTGGCCTGATTAAAAAAGAGGATTAATTCTATGGTCTGAACCAAATTTTTAATATTAAAACCGGTTTAAATTTAATTGATATCTTTTAGAATAATTACAAAAAGTGTATAATATAACCTTTGGGTTATGTATATTTGATAGTCTTTTCAAGTTAAATTTCAAGACTTAACTGAGAGATAGCTTTGTGACATTTCAAGGGCCCTGGAATGATTCAAGGATGTATTCTCTCTTCTTAAAAGAAATATTTTTGAACTAAATTAGGCCAATCTAATATACTTGAAATCACGTGGGAAGCTTTATCAAATAAAAATTAATAACTGTGTTCTATTTATATACATATATTTTTAATGTTATAAAGGTTTCAACCTCTAAGCTTGGCAGGACAAGGTTGCTGAATACTTCATTAGCTTTTCACAATATAATCAAGGTCTTATATAAACTCATTTATATGAGAAGCCAATATTTTATGAGCAATTGGTTCTAACAAAGTCCAAAGTAAAATTTGCATATATATGCAAATAAGCACTAACCAAAAAGAATGCTGTTTGAAAGTAAATTTAAGCTAATAAAAAGAAATTTTAAAATCTCTTCCACTACTATTTACAAAGTAAACTAAAAGTTATTATTCAAGCATTAAATCTCATCATTAATGAGACACCATAAGTAAACAGAAAGTTATTTTTACTTGAGATGTATGCATTGCAGTATTGACCAGCGTGTCTCTCTCCTCCCTGTTTTTCTGAAAGGCAACAGAGTTTGTTGCTCTGTTTAAAAGAAAGTAAAAGGTTTTTTTTGTTTTTTTGCTTTGTTTTTTTAAAAATATATTTTATTGATTTTTTACAGAGAGGAAGGGAGAGGAATAGAGAGTTAGAAACATCAATGAGAGAAAAACATCGATCAGCTGCCTCCTGCACACCTCCTACCGGGGATGTGCCCACGACCAAGGTACATGCCCTTGACTGGAATCGAACCTGGGACCCTTCAGTCCGCAGGCCAATGCTCTATCCACTGAGCCAAACTGGTCAGGGCGAAAGTAAAAGTTTTTAAAAGAAATTCCTTAAATGTGGCTTAGAGATTACTCTGGGAGAAAAAACAGAAGGAAGTTCCCTTCAAATATCTAGGAACTGTAATTAATAGTCAATGTATTAGGCCTCAAAAGGTGGAAATACAAAAAGATTGCCTTAAAACCTTAAATGGCTTTTAGATATTATTAGAGGACATTAATTAGTTAAGACCTTATCTAAAAATCTCTACGGGAGAAATGGAAAATTTATTCAACATACTTAGGAATCCTAAGGAAGCTTTATTAAGTGTATGCAAGGACCTACAGAATCATTTTCTAATTTTGTGGCGTCGCATGGACAGCATTTGCAACCATCTAAAAAATATAAATGCCAAGCGGTTTGGGACCATCTGATAAATCCTCTCTTCCCTAAACCAAGGACACTTAAAAGTAAGTAATTTGTATTTTGCCTCCCTAAACAAAGCTTATGCCTATATATTCAAAAAGACTGATAGCAGAAATCCAATTAGTAGCATTTACTGTCCACACCTAAGGACAAATGAAGTTAGAAAATAAACCTTATTTCAGATTGATTTACATTGGCAAATTGAAGTACGTAAATATTCAGGGGAAATTAGCTGTCACCTACTAAAAAATTACTACAATTTTTATATTACACCCCTATTATTATACCAAAAAATATTAGGCAGGAACCTATTCCTAGAGCATTAACTATTTTTACTGATAGTTCATCTAATGGTAAAGCTGCTTATCATGCCATGAATTCAGACTGACTCATCCAGACCAGTCATACTTCTGGGCAAAGAATTGAATTAGAAGCTATCAAGGCTGCATTGCAGGATTTCCAAGAGCCTCGTAATATTATTTCTGATTCTGCCTATGCTGCTGGCCTGGTAAACAGAATTGAAACTGCTCGATTAAAATGGCTCAGTGACCAAAGTCTATTTATACTATTTAAACAGGTCCTGGTTCTTTAACAAAAGGAAATGCATATAGGGATCAATTGGCTGCTTTATTAAAACAGGCGACAGAATTTCATCACCTTTTACATCAGCCTGCCAAAACGTTGTCTAAACAATTTTCATTCACTCTGAAGCATAGTGGTACTGTTGTGGAGCGCGAGTGACAGAATGACCAGAACTCCAGGCTGATTACAATTTAGAGAGCCTTTATTGACTGGCCGGTGTCTGCTCCTCCCCTCGGGAAGCTCAAGAGAGAAGCGGCCCGACCATCTGCAGAGTCCAATATCTAAAGGGGACAACTACATCCGTGTTCAGGTTCCCATAGCAAGCAAAGCCAAGTTACAAAAGCTAATTGCGTAGTTTTAGCCAAGCTATTCATCATCCTCCTGTTATTCATTTCTGGGTAACTTAAAGGTCAGGACTATTCTTAATTTTGATCCGTCTGTCCTTTGTGGGCCTTTGCCCAGGAGTGTTGGTCTGTTTGTTCTTTGTGGGCCGTTGCTCAGGTGTGTGAGCTCAGTTCCTAGAAACTTTGCACAGGCTGTCAAGCTGCTGAGGTGGCTAGGTAATTAAGCAGGCCTAAAAATTTTCCTACTCTGTAACAGTACCTCCTTTTGAAAAACTGCTGTTTAAAATTGCTGTTTGAACTACTCTGTTATTTTTAGATAGTCTCTTATTCTATAAAATATAACTTTGTTTTTTGCTTGAATAGAAAAGATAAACTTAACTGTCTGACCTTGCAAGCTAGCCACCTAAAGGGGCTGATGCACTGTATTAATTCACATATTCTGTCAAGTGTTTGTTCATCCAAGGTTACAGGTGTTTGATTAGATATAATATGTATTCAAAGTTACAAGTTGTCTGTATAGATATTACAGGTGTTTGATTAGATATAATATGTATTCAAGGTTACAAGCTGTTTTACACAAAGAACTAGAAGGATATAAAAAGGAAATACCCCCTCCTGTGTTTGTTCAGAATTTGACAGAGGTAATCTGCTCTGAACCTGCATGCAATAAAGATGACTCCTAACTATTGGCCGATTAAGGCATCTTGTCCAGCTCGCTGATTTGCGATACAACAACTCGACAGCAGGCGAAACAGATTATCAAGGAATGTCCCGCGTCCATGTTTCCAATTTGAAAAACAAAAAGGGGGAATAGTGGTGAAATCTCCTGTAAGTAAACTACATCAAGCCTTAATTACTTTAATTTTTTTCACTTGTAACGCTGAAGGCAAGACACCCATGGAATTACACCGGTGTCAGAATAAGCTAAAGGAAAATGGTCTGGTTAACATTTGATCAAGGATATGCTTGTGTATTTCCAGAAAACTCCTCCAAGCCCATGTGGATTCCTGCAAGAAATATTAAACTTCAACATGGATCCAAGGGAGGAACTGATCAGATTAATGAAGACCTTGCACCTGGAGCTGCACCCTGTACCTGGGGCTGCAGACAATCGACTACTCCAGCCACAGTTAGCAGTAGCCCCAAGCAACATGCTGAAGATAAGGAGTGGGAGGAGAATGAGAGAGACAACAAACAGTCCGGAGATGACCTGGGGGATGGGGAAGAAGACGTCCAGGAAGCTGAGTGAATTTGTGAGGAGACCAAAACCCCAAGAACACCCGAGGATGTTTTCTTGCCATGCTAGCAGTCACCAGCTGTGTGGTAACACTACCAGGGGCAAATGGGGAAGTATATTGGACTTATGTCCCTGACCCTCCATGGGTGAGACCCCTTACTTGGGCTGATCCCCTGCCTAGTGCACTCACCAATAATAGCAAGCACCTTGGTCATCCAGGAGGACCACAGGTGGGACCAGGAAGTATATGGGCAAAGTATAATTACATAGGTGTCGCCACCCAGCTTCCCTTTTGTATGACACAGAATCCAACTACTGCTCCTGTGTGTGTAGAATTAAAGAGAGTTTTTTGGCTTGCATGGCCACCAAAGGAGGGGGAAGCAAAAGCCCAAATACATCTACTATCACTACTTGCTCCTGGGAGAGGTACAGAAAATGTAACATTACTAAGACATCCCCCCACTAAGCCATTATGTAAAAGTTTTATGAATGGCACCCCACCGAGGAAGAAATTAATTGGCAAGACTGTTATAGTGACCACGCCACCAGCAGCAAACTTAATAACAGTTTTTCCTTTGTGGATTGGAGCCTCTACAGGTCTGCGTATAGTAACAACTGCACCCTAAAATGGAAGGGGACCGCATCTTATCTATATGTTGAAGCTAATCATTTCATCTTATGGCATGGAGGAGGATTTGTTGGATCTCAATTACAACATGACAATTGGCCCCTACAAAATACACAATGGAAATTAGCTGCTGCACTTGCACCTATAAAATGGTATAGTTTTAACTATAGCTCAGATAATTCAATTCGTAACTTATGGGGAACTTCCAATAAGAGTATTTGCCACCACTTGTGTATTTGATCCTTTTGTACTCCTCTCAGGCCCCATCCAGATGTGCCTTAATGAGACAAGCCATTTGTATGAGGTGTCATGCACAGGCTGCACACTATCCCATTGTATTAATTCTACATTCCAAAAAGATTCCCTCATGATTTTAAAACAACCTGCTTTCACTTGGGTTCCTACTAACCTAACTGAGCCTTGGGAATCTCATCAAACCTACCAATTGTTACATGACCTGGTAAAAATCTTAAAACGACAAAAAAGATTTCTTGGAATGTTAATTGCAGGACTCTTTGCCCTCATAATGTTACTTACTTCTGTGGGCATCACTGCTTCATCCATGGTAAAAACTGTTCAAACTTCTCAATTTGTACAACAAGTTAAGGAAAATGTAACTAAGACCTTGTCTATACAAAAAAGAATTGACAGCCAGGTTGAGATGAAATGATCAGCACTAAAGTCTACAGTCTTGTGGGTGCATGATAAAATCCACAGCGTAGAGCAAAGCATATCCTTACAGTGTCATTATAATTTTTCCCAGATTTGTGTTACCCCCCGTTCCCTGTAATAGTACCTTTCACCCTTGGGAATCAATAAAAAATCACCTTCTTGGTGCTTGGGGTAAAGGTAACACAACCCTTGATATTTTAGAATTACAACAGCATATTGTACAATTATCCCAGGCAAACTTACAAACTAATTCCTTAGGTGCCTGGCAGCAATTTAAAAAGGACATGAAAGAATTTAATCCCTTTCACTGGATCTCCTTACATTTGTCTCTTAGCATAACCACTATTGTCTGTCTCATTCTTGTTCTTATATGTTTATTTCTAATCTGCAGATGCGGAATGAAGAGTCTTAAAAGGACTCAGGCCCTACAGACGGCATACACTTTTCAAGATTTATTAAGAAAACAAAAAGGGGGAAATGCGGGAAGTCATCCATTGTCAACATTATCATGAGAGTGATCAAGGAACTTGGAAGGCTGATGAACCTTGAGCTTTAGCAGGGCTAAAAGCTATGCACCGATTGTTCTGTGTTGAGATAATGATGGCTCGAAGCAATTTCCTGACCTAATAACCTCAACGTAAATCTTTACTGATCTTTTACTTACTTTTGAGATAGTCTGTCTGCTACCTGTTTGCCGTGCCTAAATGAGGGCAAGATGTGTATCTAAAATTGAATAGAAGCTGACAGGTCCAGGGTTTCAGAGAGCTTCTCCACTAGAGGGAAGTTTCCACCTGGCCCCCATGCCTTCTAAATTCATATTTCTTGTCTAGTGTTTTCATTTGTGCGTGGCCCCTTCTTCAGATCCTGAACCCTAGCCATAAATGGATGCGGCAATTCTCCCAACGTGTACATGAGACTGTAACCGAACTGTTTGCTGCCTAAATATCTGTAACATCTGCTTCATTCATCTCTGCCCCATTTGTGCAGGGAAGGGATCCCTGAGCTTCAGGTACGACTCTCCAGAGCCTGGCCAATGACAGCCCAGGGTTACTGCTCAGTAATACTGCCTGATTGCCTGGCCAATGACGGCCCAGGGTTACTGCTCAGTAATACTGCCTGATTGCCTGGCCAATGACGGCCCAGGGTTACTGCTCAGTAATACTGCCTGATTGCCTGGCCAATGACAGCCCAGGGTTATTGCTCAGTAATACTGCCTGATTGCCTGGCCAATGACGGCCCAGGGTTACTGCTCAGTAATACTGCCTGATTGCCTGGCCAATGACAGCCCAGGGTTATTGCTCAGTAATACTGCCTGATTGCCTGGCCAATGACGGCCCAGGGTTACTGCTCAGTAATACTGCCTGATTGCCTGGCAGTGAGAGAAGGGAAGAGCAATTGCATTTACAGAGGTTCAGGAAAAGGAAGTGTCTTACCCAAGCTCACAGAGGTTCTAGAAAAGGCAGAGTCAGAATTGGGCCAGAAATTGGGTGGGGTCCTCTCCTGCCCCGTTCCTCCACCCTTATCACCTGGGACGGCTGTCACCCTCTGGATTTGGGTTTGGCATGAGGTGAAGGCAGAGCGTGTGGGGTCTGGTGAGACTCAGGTCGGTCTCAGAGGTCCCATAGCTTGCTGTCCCCTAGGGCCCACCCTTCAGGGAGGAGCTACTGCCTTTCCTGTGTGGCCACTGATGAACCGGTGATGTATCGCCTGGGGACTGGACCTTGTCACACCTCATTCTCCCTTTTGTCCCCCAGGCTCTGTGGAGTTTATGTCACCTGCACACTGGGGACCATGTGAGGAAGCCCCCCGACCCAGAACCTCCCTGCCCTTCTTGACCTCAGTGAGCTCTGGGGAAGGGAGGAGGGGTGGGCTAACAACTCAGTAACCATCACTATGCTGACAGGATGGTGAAAGGACAGGGGAAAGTGTGCATTTGTGGAGTCTCAGGAAAGAGAAGGGCATTCCCAAGGTCACACAGACTCAGGTACGAGGCCGGAGCTGGTGTTTCTTTCTGCTCTGCCCTGCACCCTGCACCCTCGTGTACTGGGACCAGGGTCACCCTCTGGATTGGAGTTGGACAGGAGGTGGAGGCAGAGTGTGGGGGTCTGCTGAGACTCAGATCTGGTCCTGAAGGTCCCGGGGACCTGCTGTGTCCTCAGCCATCCTTCAGGGAGAGCAGAGTGAGGCTGATGAGGAAACAGGACCTGTCACCCGGAGCCGGGACCCAGTCACACCCGTGCATCTGCTTGTCCTGCTGGGCTCTGTGGACTTCATCCATCATCAGTACCATGGGGACCATGGCAGACAGCACCACCACCTTGACCTTCATTGTCCTCCTGGGCCTTGGTGAGTCTGTGGGGAAAGGAGGAGGGATGGGGTCCCCGCCCCTCCCAGGTCCTGGCCTTGTGAGACCCCAGGACTCAGGAGGCTCAGTGGGGACAGGACTTTGGGGAGAGGAGACTTCTCAGTCCCAGGTCTGCCCCCAGTGCTCAGGGGCCCAGACCAAGCCCGGAGCTTCTGTGTGCGGTCGGGGACGGTTCTCACAGGGACTCTCTTCCAAGGCTGTGTCAGGGCTCGTGGGACCAGGTACAGGCAGGTGAGTCCTCCCCCTGACCTACTGCTTTAGCACAGTCACCTCCTGGGCAGCTGGGGAGACACAGGTTTGGGATAATGGTGACCAATCAGGGAGGGGCCTTGGGGTGACAGGTCGGGAAAAGGGGGAGAAGGATGCCCCTGACATTTCAGGTCTGATTTCTTTCCAGGGGTTGTCCCCAAACCCTCCATCTGGGCTGACCCAGGCCCCATCGTCACCCGGGGGAGCCCTGTGACCATCTGGTGTCAGGGGTCTCTGCAGGCTGAAGCCTATGTTCTGTATAAAGAGAGGGGCTCTAGCCCCTTGGAAACGAGGATCCCACAGGACTCCAGCAATAGGGCCGGTTTCCTCACTGAAGCCACGACCCCCTCCCACGCAGGGCTGTACCGGTGTGCATATTACACCCCTGGGAACATACTCTCAGAGCGGAGTGACCCCCTGCTCCTGGTGGTGACAGGTAAGGGAGACACCGGGTCCCCTCCCACTGTGGGCTCCGGGTCACAGGCAGAGGGAATAAAGTGTGGCCTCAGGGGGACCCACCCCTCACAGAACACACCTGGGGCATGAGGGTGACGGTCTGTTAACACAGATCTTCTCCTCCCTCAGGAGTGTACCCTGCACCCTCCCTCTCAGCCCGGCCACGCCCTGTGGTGGCCTCAGGAGGGAACGTGTCCCTCTCCTGCAGCTCACAGACATCTGGCACTTTCCATCTGCTGAAGGAGGGAGGGGCTGACCCGCCCCGACACATGGAAGCAGAACCCAGGACCTATAATGGGAGGTCGCAGGCCATCTTCCCTCTGGGCCCCGTGAGCCGCTCCCATGGGGGGACCTACAGATGCTATGGTTCTCCCAGCTCCAACCCCAACGTGTGGTCACAGCCCAGTGACCCTCTGCACATTGAGGTCACAGGTGAGGGACAGACCCCTGTGCAGCCCCATCTGTTTCCTGGGCCCAAAATGACTGTGCTGTGTGTCCACTGGGGCCCTGGGCTCATGGGGGTCCGTGACACTGGCCTCTGGGGGACAGACCCACAGGCGGGAGGCTCAGGGAAGGACATGTGAGACCTCTCAGTGCAGCCCAGTGGGCGATGTGGGGTGTCCCCTGGTGCCACTGTCCCCTCCTCCCAGGTGTGCACAGGGAGCCCGCCCTCTCGGCCCAGCCAGGCTCGCTGGTGCTGCCTGGACACAGCCTGACCCTCCGGTGCCACGCGGAGGCCGGCTTTGACACATTCGCTCTGACCAAGGACGAGGGGCTCACACCCCCTCAGCGCCTTGAGGGGCAGCACAGCCCCGACTTCCCCCTGGGCCACGTGAACCGCACCCACGGGGGCCGGTACAGATGCTACAGTGGACACAGCCTCTCCTCTGCATGGCCGGCCCCCAGCCCCCCCCGGACATCCTGGTGGCAGGTGAGGAGCCAGCCCTGCCCTTGTCCTGAGGGTCTGCTCAGGGCTCTGGCCCAGGGTCACCTGGGGGTGATGGGGTCCAGGAGAGGGGCCTGGAGCAGAGGCTGAGCTGGGCAGAGGCCTAGGGGAGGGAGTGAGAAAGGGGGTGAGGGCCATGGAGATAAAAGACACCCCCAGGGGGACTGAGAGGAGCTGGGAGGGGGTCACAGACAGGGTCTCTGGAGAAGGACAAGGTCCCTCAGCTCAGGGTCAAGGGCATGAGGGGAGGGGTGACTCTCTACACATCACAACCTTCCTCTCCCCAGGAATGTACAGGAAACCCTCCCTCTCAGCCCAGCCGGGACCCTCAGTGGCCAGGGGAGCGACCGTGACCCTGCAGTGTGGGTCTGAGATCTGGTTTGACACCTTCCACCTGCACAGGATGGGGTCGCTGGACCCTCCCCAGCACCTTCGTCTGCAGAACACGTCTGCACCCTCTCAGGCCAACTTCACCCTCAGTCCTGTGACCTCAGGCCACCAGGGGACCTACAGGTGCTATGGCTCACGCAGCACCTCCTGCTACCTGCTGTCACACCCCAGTGACCCCCTGGAGCTGATGGTCTCAGGTGGGGAGCCCTGACCCCATCCTTTCTATGCTCCGTCAGCTCAGGGCCCTGTCCCTAGGAATGTCGGTGACAGTAATAAACAGTGAGGTGGAGGAGGTTCCACAGAGCAGGGTCCACCCATGAGAGAGTAGAAACAGACAGGACCTCCCACTCCTGAACCCAGTTTCTGAATTTTGATCATATCTTCTCTCATCCTCTTACAGGATGATAGCTCTTCCAAGGTGATTCCGAGCAGGTGCTGAGTTCAGACATCACTGGGCTGCTGATGTGCAGGGGAGCTGGGAGCCCAGGGAAGACACCAGAATCCTGGAGGTTTGAGTCCGCCCTGACCTCTGAGACTTCTTTACCTACGGATTTTCCCATCCCCAAGCCTACCCAGTGGAGAACCTCATTCGGATGGATGGGCGTGGCTGGCTTGGTCCTGGTTGTCCTCGGGGTGCTGCTATTTCAGGCTGGAAATGACACCAGAAGGACCCTAGATGCAGCCAGGATGAGAATACAGAGGGAGCAACGCGCCGTTCAGAGTGGGGGAGCCTTGGAGCCCATCTGATGATCCCAGGAGGTGGCGAAAGAGAATGTGGACCATAGTTGGGGAAACTGTCTGCTGAGAACGTCCAGGGGAGGAGACGTGGTCGACGAGGTTTGGGTGCAGGAGGACGTGGGCCATGTCCCTGTAGAGCAGCGGTTCTCAACCTTCCTAATGCCGAGACCCTTTAATATAGTTCCTCATGCTGTGCTGACCCCCAACCATAAGATTATTTTCGTTGCTACTTCATAACTGTAATGTTGCTACTGTTATGAATTGTCATGTCAATATCTGATATGCAGGATGTATTTTCATTGTTACAAATTGAACATAATTAAAGCATAGTGATGAATCACAAAAACAATATGTAATTATATATGTGTTTTCTGATGGTCTTAGGCGACCCTTGTGAAAGGGTCGTTGGACCCCCAAAGGGGTCGCGACCCACAGGTTGAGAACCGCTGCTGTAGAGGATGCCTCCACCATCCACCTGGGGTGCTCTCCCTCCCTCCCTGACCTCGCTGACTCTCCTTCACTGCCCTTCTGTTCCCACCCTGTGACGTGAGTGTCCATCCCACGTGGCTCATGGAGATAGTGGACGCTTCGTGCCAAATTCCAGAGCAACCGTCCTGCTAAGACCATTGGGCACTGAATCTGTGTAGTGCTGTAACCCTTTAGGATTTAAACTCATTGAAAAGTAAATAAATTACAGTGGGTGTTCTCTTGTAAAAAAAAAAAAAAAGTGGAAGAAAACACCTGATTGAGACATTACTGCCCAGTTCACACAGGTAGCAGGTGGAACACAAGTATTTAAACAAAGGGTTTTTTTTTCAACAAATCAAAGCTCTAGACCAGATGGCAGTCTTACTGTCTATGACAGCCGTGGGCAAACTACGGCCCGCGGGCCGGATCCGGCCCGTTTGAAATGAATAAAACTAAAAATAAAAAGACCGTACCCTTTTATGTAATGATGTTTACTTTGAATTTATATTAGTTCACACAAACACTCCATCCATGCTTTTGTTCCGGCCCTCCGGTCCAGTTTAAGAACCCATTGTGGCCCTCGAGTCAAAAAGTTTGCCCACCCCTGGTCTATGACAAGCCATGGTCCCAGGGGGACAGCTCTGCCCGAGGAAAAGGGGCCCTGAGGGGGAAAGTGAGCCTGAGGCTTATTTCCAGGAAGGAGGGGCTGGAGGCTGTGGCTGAGAAAAAGAGAAGTTCATGAAGAAACATGTGATAGAAAGAAAACCCAGCCCCTAGGGCCATAGAAGGGACCTGTTTCCTTCCCTTATTTCCCTGCATTTCCCTCTGTGCTCACTGTCACAGGGACATCGCCCTGAGCTGCACAGCGCGAGGGTGAGCGTGTCCCTGCTGATCTGAGCTCTGCAGCCACAGGGACCCACGTCTTCCTGAAGCGTCTCCAGGCCCAGGTGACACTGTCCGTGGTGAGGACCACAGGGAGGTGCTGATGGACGGGCTGAGGAGGAAGGAGGCCCCGTGGGGGAGGCTCTGACAGGAAGGACGGGCCCTGGGTCACCTCACCTGCAAGGGGCGTCTCAGGAGGCTCCAGGGCGATTTCCTGCTTCACCATGAAAATGAGAGCCAGGCTGCCAGAGAGAGGCTGTGCCCTCACCTGCGGGCTGCTGGCGTGACAACCCTGTGACAGGCAAGGCCGGCCTCCAAGTGACCACCACCTGTGCGTGTCTGTGTCCATCCTGTGTCCACCGTGCCCTCCTCCATCTGCTCAGCTGAGGCCACAGGGAAAGACGCCATGACCCCCACCCTCAGGGCCCTGCTCTGCCTCGGTGAGAAGGGAGGAGGGAGGAGGGGAGCCCTGGTCTGTCAGGACCCCAGGACTCAGGAGGCTCATGGGGAGGAGGCTGCTGCTCAGGGTTCAGGGCAAATCTCTCACAGGGACTCTCTTCCAGGGCTGAGTGTGGGCCTCAGGACCCCAGAGCAGGCAGGTGAGTCTCCCCAGGTGTCCAGGTCCCACTCCTCAATGGGGACAAGGGCCACCCTCCAGGCAGCAGGGGAAGGATCTGTCTGACAGATGGGGGGCATCTGGGACCGAGAGCTGGGACCAGGGGGGGAATGTCCTGTGACCCAGCCTCTGATTCCTTCCAGGGCCCCTCCCCAAGCCCACCCTCTGGGCGGAGCCAGGCCCTGTGAATCCCTGGGGGAGCCCCGTGACCATCTGGTGTGAGGGGACCCCAGGGCTGAGGAGTACCAGCTGGAGAAAGAGGGAAGCCCATCACCACGGAAAAGAGAGAAGCCACAGGAGCCCGGGGACAAGGCCAAGTTCTCCATCACACACATGACAGAGCGTGATGCAGGGAGATATTGCTGTCTCTACTACAGGCCTGCTGGCTGGTCAGAGCACAGTGACCCCCTGGAGCTGGTGGTGACAGGTGAGAGGACACTCAGGGGTCCCAGCCTCAGGCTCTGCCCTCAGGGGGGTGTCTGCTCTCAGGGTGTCCCCCTCTCACAGCCCAGCCCTGGGAGACATGAGGGAGGTGTGAGCCCCATTTAACACGCTGCCTCCTCCTCTCCTAGGATCCTACAGCATACCCAGCCTCTCAGCCCTGCCCAGCCCTGTTGTGACCTCAGGAGGGAACGTGACCCTCCAGTGTGGCTCAGGGCAGGGATTTGACAGGTTCATTCTGACTAAGGAAGGAGATCACAGGCTCTCCTGGACCCTGGACTCACAGACACAGAGCAGGGGGCAGTCCGAGGCCCTGTTCCCTGTGGGCCCCGTGACCTCCATTCACAGGTGGACGTTCAGATGCTATGGCTGTTACAGGAACATCCCTCAGGTGTGGTCACTCCCCAGTGATGCCCTGGAGCTTTTGGTCCCAGGTATGTCCCATTATTGTCCCATCCATGGATTGAGGCACCAGCCAGGTTATTGGGGTCTTTTTTGTGAGGGGAGCCCCAGGCGAGAAGGTGGGGTGTGGGAAAACAGGGGCTCCTGGGCCAGAGACACGGAGAGAGACAGGGACACCTGGGAGCCAGGCCAGGAAAAGGGGTTTATGGGAGGAGAAGCCCCTGTAATTCATGCCTGGTCTCCCCAGGTGAGTCTGGGAAGCCCTCCCTCCTGACCCAGCAGGGCCCCATCGTGGATTATGGACAGAGCCTGGCCCTCCAGTGTCGCTCTGATGTCAGCTATGAGAGATTCGCTCTGTCCAAGGAGGGGGGACGAGACCTTCCCCAGAGCCTTGTCCTGCAGCCCCAGGCTGGGCTGTCTCAGGCCCACTTTCTCCTGGACACTGTGAGCAGCTCCCACGGGGGCCGGTACAGATGCTACGGTGGATACACCCTCTCCTCTGAGTGGTCGGCCCCCAGTGACCCCCTGGACATCCTGGTGGCAGGTGAGGAGCCAGTGGGTTCAGTCAGGGAACCAGATCTGCACAGGCCCTGCTGGGCGTCTAAGGTGGTGAGACCAGAATGACAGTGCAGGCCCCAGGGAGGGAGAGAGACAGAGAGAGGCAGGGGGTGGGAGGGGAGATGGGGAGACTCAGAGAAACAGAGACAGACAGAGAGGAGGGTCCTCAGAGAGAGAGGCCAGGTGCCTCTCAGGTCAGAAGAAGCTGGGCAGGCAGCCCTCACCCTCCCTCCCTCTCTCTAGGATGGCTGTATGACAGACCCTCCCTCTCGGTGCAGCCAGGCCCCAGGGTGGCCTCAGGAGAGAACGTGACCCTGCTGTGTCAGTCACGGAGCCCGGGGGACACTTTCCATCTGTCCAAGGAGGGGGCAGCCGATCCCCCCCTGCATCTGAGACCAGAGGGCCGAGCTCAGCAGTTCCAGGCGGAGTTCTCCATGAGTCCTGTGACCCCAGCCCACGGGGGCACCTACAGGTGCTACAGCTCAAACAGCTCCTCCCCCTTCCTGCTGTCACTCCCCAGTGAGCCCCTGGAGCTCCTGGTCTCAGGTGAGGGGCCCCTGACCCTGTCTGCCAGCTATCAGCTCAGGTCCCTTCCCCAGAGGAATTATGGTCTGAAAGGGAGTGAGGGGCTCTAGGGATGGTCATCCAGCGGAGATCTTTTTTTTTTAAATATATATTTGATTGATTTCTTACAGAGAGGAAGGGAGAGGGATGGAGAGATAGAAACATCAATGAGAGAGAAACATCAATCAGCTGCCTCCTGCACACCCTCTACCGGGGATGTGCCCGCAACCAAGGTACATGCCCTTGACCGGAATCGAACCTGGGACCCTTCAGTCTGCAGGCCGACACTCTATCCACTGAGCCAAACCGGCGAGGGTGCCCAGAGGGGATCTGACCCTCAGACACCCCTGTCCCCTCTCCACCCCTCCCCCTCACCTGGTCCAGAAGGTGCCAGGTGGGCAGTGAGAGGGACTTAGTGAGGGCTCTGTGAGGGGGACTCCAGACTCTCACCTTCTTCCTGTCCTTCCCAGGACCACTGGGACCCAGCCCCTCCTCCCACGTGGTCCCCTTTGCTCAGAGGGAGACAGCACCCCTGGGCAGTTCTGAGTCTCTGAGGACCTAATGGCCCCCCCGCCCCCTGACACCTAAGGGCAGGCTGTGTCCTAAGGCTGCAAGGAGTTGGGGACAGATTTCAGGGAACCACAGGCCCCAGGGCTCTGAGGATCGGGCTCCCCCACCCACAGAGTCGGGCTCACAGAGGGGAAGTGGGACATCTGTGGGAGGTGGTGGGTGCCTCCATGGGGACAGGGGCTGAGCCACGTGCAAGTTCAGGCCCCTCTGAAGTCTGCCAATTGAACACGCCCTTCCCCTGACTGGGCTTCCGTGTCTGCATGTGTTAAGAAAGTGAATTATGGCCCAGACCTTACATTTCCTGTCAGTTCTGGCCCTGACCTCCTGGGAGAGGGGGCCTCACAGGGCAGCCCCCCAGGGGCCTATCCCCTCTGTCGCAGTGATGGTGACTCTGTACCGGGAGGGACAGGCAGGACAAGGGTCCGGGCACCCAGCTCAGGGTCAGCTCAGAGGAGGGAACAGGGTGGACCTGTCCTGGTTCAGCTCCCGCCTCTGCTGCTCCTGCTGTGGGGCTGGGCGGTCCCTTCTCTCCTCTGAGTGTCAAGGTCCTGTCTGCTCATCCCTGGTCCCATCCTGCTCACAGGCTGCTGGGAGATGAGGTGACATAAGGGCCTCACAGAGCTCAGGAAGGCAGCACCCCAGCCCAGCCTGACCCTCCCAAGGGAGCATCAGGGCCTGCAGGGTGGAGACAGATCCTAGACTCAGAGTCCAGCCCACACCTGCCCCTCCCTGTCCCTGCTGTGCTGGGGGCGGGTAATGAGGAAGGACCCTCAGCTCCAGATGAGACGTGGACAGGCCCCTGCAGAGGAGGAGCCCAGAGCACGAAGTTGGTGTCCAAAGAGGGGCTCGGGGGGGAGGAGGCAGCGTGAGGGCAGCACAGAGAACCCACAGTCCTGGGTTCCAGTCTCAGCCCTGCCCCACCCAGGCTGGGTGACCTGGGGCACACGATTGACCTCTCTGAGCCTCAGTGAAGTGGGTGGTGGGGTCAGCCATCCCTGGTGCATGACTGTTGTCAGGGTTAGAGGAGATGAGTGACAGGCCCCAGCATGTGCCTCGCACACAGTAGGTGCTCATTACATGGCATCTTTGGCTCATTCATGACGTCATAAGGGGAGAAGGATGCCCCTGACATTTTAGGTCTGATTTCTTTCCAGGGGTCGTCCCCAAACCCTCCATCTGGGCTGACCCAGGCCCCATCGTCACCCGGGGGAGCCCTGTGGCCATCTGGTGTCAGGGGTCTCTGCAGGCTGAAGCCTATGTTCTGTATAAAGAGAGGGGCTCTAGCCCCTTGGACACGAGGATCCCACAGGACTCCAGCAATAAGGCCAGTTTCCTCAATGAAGCCATGACCCCATCCCACGCAGGACTGTACCAGTGCAAATATTACACCCCTGGGAACATAGTCTCAGAGCGGAGTGACCCCCTGCTCCTGGTGGTGACAGGTAAGGGAGACACCGGGTCCCCTCCCCACTGTAGGCTCCGGGTCACAGGCAGAGGGAATAAAGTGTGGCCTCAGGGGGACCCACCCCTCACAGAACACACCTGGGGCATGAGGGTGACGGTCCCGTTAACACAGATCTTCTCCTCCCTCAGGAGTGTACCCTGCACCCTCCCTCTCAGCCCGGCCAAGCCCTGTGGTGGCCTCAGGAGGGAACGTGTCCCTCTCCTGCAGCTCACAGACATCTGGCACTTTCCATCTGCTGACGGAGGGAGGGGCTGACCCGCCCCAACACATGGAAGCAGAACCCAGGACCTATGATGGGAGGTGGCAGGCCATCTTCCCTCTGGGCCCCGTGAGCCCCTCCCATGGGGGGACCTACAGATGCTATGGTTCTCCCAGCTCCAACCCCAACGTGTGGTCACAGCCCAGTGACCCTCTGCACATTGAGGTCACAGGTGAGGGACAGACCCCTGTGCAGCCCCATCTGTTTCCTGGGCCCAAAATGACTGTGCTGTGTGTCCACTGGGGCCCTGGGCTCATGGGGGTCCGTGACACTGGCCTCTGGGGGACAGACCCACAGGCGGGAGGCTCAGGGAGGGACATGTGAGGCCTCTCAGTGCAGCCCAGTGGGCGATGTGGGGTGTCCCCTGGTGCCACTGTCCCCTCCTCCCAGGTGTGCACAGGGAGCCCGCCCTCTCGGCCCAGCCAGGCTCGCTGGTGCTGCCTGGACACAGCCTGACCCTCCGGTGCCACGCGGAGGCCGGCTTTGACACATTCGCTCTGACCAAGGACGAGGGGCTCACACCCCCTCAGCGCCTTGAGGGGCAGCACAGCCCCGACTTCCCCCTGGGCCACGTGAACCGCACCCACGGGGGCCGGTACAGATGCTACAGTGGACACAACCTCTCCTCTGCATGGTCGGCCCCCAGCGCCCCCCTGGACATCCTGGTGGCAGGTGAGGAGCCAGCCCTGCCCCTCTCCTGAGGGTCTGCTCAGGGCTCTGGCCCAGGGTCACCTGGGGGTGATGGGGTCCAGGAGAGGGGCCTGGAGCAGAGGCTGAGCTGGGCAGGTCTAGGGGAGGGAGTGAGAAAGGGGGTGAGGGCCATGGAGATAAAAGACACCCCCAGGGGGACTGAGAGGAGCTGGGAGGGGGTCACAGACAGGGTCTCTGGAGAAGGACAAGGTCCCTCAGCTCAGGGTCAAGGGCATGAGGGGAGGGGTGACTCTCTACACATCACAACCTTCCTCTCCCCAGGAATGTACAGGAAACCCTCCCTCTCAGCCCAGCCGGGACCCTCAGTGGCCAGGGGAGCGACCGTGACCCTGCAGTGTGGGTCTGAGATCTGGTTGGACACCTTCCACCTGCACAGGGAGGGGTCACTGGACCCTCTCCAGCACCTTCGTCTACAGAACACGTCTGCACCCTCTCCGGCCAACTTCACCCTCAGTCCTGTGACCTCAGGCCACCAGGGGACCTACAGGTGCTATGGCTCACGCAGCACCTCCCGCTACCTGCTGTCACACCCCAGTGACCCCCTGGAGCTGATGGTCTCAGGTGAGGAGCTCAAGCCCCAGCCCTTTGTCCCCAGGTCAGTTCAGGGCCCTGCCCCAGGGGACCTTGGGCTGCAATGGGCGTGAGTTAGGACCAGGAAGAGGGTCACCCAGAGGGAACTCTCACCTCCTGGAGGGATGGAAAAAGCCAGAGCTGCTCTCATCCCTTCCTCATCCCCGTCCCCATCCCTGAGGCCCAGCCGTGCTCCCGTGAGCAGAGGGAGGCTGGAGAAGGTGGGGCTGACCATAAGGAGACAAGGCCAGGAGCACCCATCTAGACCCTCCAGGCCCCAGTCCTGTGGCCTCAGCCAGAGAGACCAAGACAGGAGTGTGACCAGCAGAGGCCGGACCCCCAGCGAGAGCAGGAATCCTTGCTGGGGCTCGGCCTGTCTCCCAGGGTGACTGGGGAGTGGAGACGCTGGAGGAATCATGGTGCCTCAGGGCTCTGAGGCCAACAGGTGGGGTGGTCATGGGAGAGGGAGATGTTGGGGTCCAGCCTGTGGGAGGAACAGCCCCCACCCCTCACCTTCCATCCTGATCTCCAGGAGCCCTGAGGATTGGTCCCCCACTAGGAAGTCAGGCCTGCAGAGGACTCAGTGAGGGTCTGGGGGAGGTGGTGGGTGGGAGCTCAGTGTTGGTCTTGGCTCAGCCAATTCCTAGGTAATGGCCTGAGGAAAGTTCCTCCTTCTCACGGGGACCAAGGTCTCCAATCGCAAAGGGTGAGGGGTGTGTGTGTGTGTGTCTGTGTGTGCGTACACGTGTGTGCACGCATTGTGTGCGTGTGCACGTTTGTGCATGCGCGTTTACATGCGCGCCTCCATGCATGTGTGCACAAGCACATTTGTACATGCGTGTTTATGCATGTGCCTCTGTGTCTTGTGTGTGTGTGTGTGCATGTGTGTTGGGGACACAGGCAGTGTGAGTCTCCTCCACTAAGCCTTCCAAGGAGCAGCCGTGGAGTCAGAAGAAGCCTCAGCCCTGGTTCAAATCCCAGCTCTGCTCCTTCCCGCCTGTGGGACCTTAGACAAGTCTGTTCCTCCGAGTCCTGGTCCATGGGCTTTGGGTCAGGCCACCCTCGCCCCCTCCCTCAAAGGGAAGGCCCTCAGCACGCAGCCCGGCCCCGGTTAGTGCTCAGGAAGGACACAGGCCTCCCTTCTGCCCTTCCCAGAGGCACCCCACGTGCACAGGCCCCACTGTGTGGGGGGTCAGGCTGCAGAGTGGGACAGGGATCTGGGCTGAGATAGAGAGGTGTGGCTCTACCTGCAGGTACAGGGACAGCATTAATAATGATAATAATAAAAACAACAACAACAATAATAGTAATAATGCCCTGACCAGTTTTGCTCCATCTGTTAGAGCAGTGGTTCTCAACCTTCCTAATGCTGCCACCCTTTAATACAGTTCCTCATGTTGTGGTGACCCCCGACCATAAAATTATTTTCGTTGCTACTTCATAACTGTAATTTTGCTACTGTTATGAATTGTAATGTAAATATCTGATATGCAGGATGTATTTTCATTGTTACAAATTGAACATAATTAAAGCATAGTCATCAATCACAAAAACAATATGTAATTATTTATATGTGTTTTCCAATGGTCTTAGGCGACCCCTGTGAAAGGGTCGTTCGACCCCCAAAGGGGTCTCGACCCACAGGTTGAGAACCACTGTGTTAGAGCATCAGCCCTTGGACTAAAGGGTCGCAGGTTCAGTTCCCGGTCAAGGGCACTTACCTTAGTTGCAGATTCGATCCCCCACCTTAGTCGGGGCACATGTGGGAGGCAACTAGTCAATTTGTCTCTCTCACATAAGTATTTCTCTCTCTCTCTCTCTGTCTCTCTTTCCCCCCCTCTTCCCTCACTTCCACTCTCTCTCTAAAGATCAATGGAAAAATACCTTTGGGTGAGGATTAAAATAATAATAACAACACACAGGGACCCTGTCCCAGGTTCCAGTCCCAGCCCTGCCCCCCAGGCTGGGTGACCTGGGGCTTCCGATTAACCTCTCTGAGCCTCAGTGAAATGGGTAGTGGGGTCAGCAGTCCCTGTTGCATGACTGTTGTGAAGTTAGAAGAGATGAATGACAGACCCCAGCATGTGCCTCACACACAGTAGGTGCTCATTTATTACACCATTGGCTCATTCATGACATCACTTGTGTTCAAGGTCTCAAATGGAACCTGATCATCCTGTTTGGGGTCTCGGTGGCCCTTGTCCTGCTGCTCTCCCTCCTTCTCTTCCTCTTCCTCCGATTCCGGCATCGGAGCAAAGGCAGTACATCGGGTGAGTAGGGGTGACCTGGGTCACAGGAGGGGGAACTCAGAGCACCTGCCACAGGAAAAAGAAATAGCTGGAGGTTAGCTGAGAAAAAGATTTCTCCGGAACCTCAAATCAGAAAATGTGGAGGGCCCTAGCTGGTTTGGCTCAGTGGATAGAGCTTCGGCCTGCCCCACAGGCCCCAGGCTTTCCCTGACCTTGGCCCTCCCCCCGACCCCCCACCCCCTACCCCCCGCCGTCCCTAACTTTTCTGTCTCCTCCCCCAGCTGCGGCCCAGCTGCAGATGCCCAGGAGGAGCCCCTCTGTGAGAGAAAGAGACAGCTGCCCTGGGCGAGGGGGCACAGGGATTTCAGGAGGCAATAGGGAGGGTTAGGCTGGGAGGGTGTGGGGTCAGGGGTGAGAAGGACTGAGATGCACACTGTGTGACCTGGTGCCTCCTCTCACCCTGGGTTAGAGGCCCATCTGGGAGCAGGCGGGGACCTGCCAGGAGATACACCCCTGTTCTGCCCCAGCAGATGCTGCCATGAAGGACCCACAGCCTGGGGAGAGCGTGGAGCTGGATCCTCGGGTGAGACCCCTGCTCCTGTCCAGGCCACCAAGGACCTTCTGTTGCCCACTTTAATCCAATGGACCCTTCCCTATCCCCACCTCACCTGCTTCTCAGCAGCGTCCACACTGACCTCTCCTTCTGGGCCCCCAGGTCGTCCTGCTGTGACTCACTCCTCCTGCTTTCCTTGTGACCTCATGGCCCCTCCTACGTGGTCCCCTTTGCTGGCCCCTTGTCCTCTGTCTGACCTTGTGCAGCCCCGGGTCTCAGGAGGAGGCAGGAATGAATGACTCACCCACAGTCCCCCGGATCCCCTTCATTCATTCCCCCAGCTGATGTGACGAGGCTCACTGTCTACCGGTTCCATTTCAGGGCCACGGTGCAGCCCTGAGCCACACTGTCCCCACACTCCGAGAGCTCACCTATGGGTGAGGGAGACAATATGCAAACAAGCAGACAGTGTCCCAGAGAGCAAAGTGCTGTGAAGGAAAATAAAGCAAGAGGAGGGGATAGAGTGCATGGTGGGGGGACAGGGAAAAGAGCGGGTGCAAAGGTCCTGAGGCAGGGCCTGCTTCTTCAGGAGGATGGGCCATGAGGCTGGAGCCAAGTGAGCAAGAGAGAGTGCATTAGGATAAGAGTCAGAACCACAGAAGCATCCAGAGGCCCCAAGGCTCAGGAAGGCCCTGCAGATTCCATTAGGAGGGGGACCTGATCTATTTAAATTGTAAATCATCTCTTTGGCAACATGAGGATAATTGACAGGAGGCACTGTCTCCAGCAGAACGGGCAGGATGAAGACCCCCAGGGAGTGACGTACGCCCAGGTGAACCACTCAAGACCAAGACCCAGGCAGGGAATGGCCACCTCTCCTTCCTCCCTGTCGGAGGAATTGCTGGACACAAAGGGCAGACAAGCAGAAGAGGACAGACAGATGGACAGTCCGGTGAGCCCCATTCTCTGCAGACCTCCAGGTTTCCCCAACCCCAACCAAGTGTCATCCCTCTCTCTCCCCCTGCTCCAGGCTGCACCTGACGCCCCCCAGGATGTGACCTACGCCCAGCTGAACCTCTTGGCCCTTAGACGGCAGACACAGGAGCCCCCAGAAGAGCCCAGCTTGTACGCTGCTCTAGCCATCCACTAGTCCAGGAAGGACCCAGACCCCACACTCCAAGGAGGGGGCCTGCAGGAACCCCAGAAGGCAAAGGTACTTCCCCCAGGGACACTCAGCTAGTGCCTCCAGCCAGCCTGGAGACCAGACGTGCTCCCCGGCAGCTCCCGGGACCCTCTTGGGAGTCACCTGGTTCTATAAGCAATATGCCTACATTTTGGAATCAAAGCAAGACTTCTCAATAATCAATGTGTGAATTTAGAACAAAAACAGAAGAGAATGCTTTAAATGAATGATGGGCAGCAGCTGCCACGGGCAGCCCTACAGCAGCTCTCCTTCCCCCGCCCCCCCTTCCACACCTCTAGCCTCACTGACCAACCTGCAGGCCTCCAGGAGCCGTGGAACCCCTACAAGGCTGTGGCTGACCAGGTGTGTGGCCTGCTGCTATGGTCCTCTTCCTTCAATCCTTTGCATGGGGCCTACTGACAACTCCAATGTTAACTACAAGTGCAGATTTCAAGGTGGAGGTGGAGTATGTGGAAGCTACTGCATTCACCTCCTCCCAGGACCAAACTGGAATTACAACTAAATGAAAGATCTGCGGAGGAGTCACAGAGCCAAGGATTTACAGAAGAAGCCACATCGGGACTGGCAGGAAGGGCAGGCACGGGAAAAGGGCCGCCCCGCTCACAGGCAGCAGCTTCCTATTTTCATTGGAAGTAGATTAAATTCAGACATTTGTTATGAAGAACAACTTCTGGTTTACATAAAGTCTTCTTATGACCCACATTTTCAAATGAGCTTTATGATGTTCTTTGGAAACGGACCCTGTCTGGGGGTGGGAGCATCTCAGGAGTAAAAACGTGAGGAGGATCAATGCCCTTTATTAACTTCTGATAGGTTAAGTGAACACCCAAGGCAAACATATCCTTTGAAAGCTTCCCACAGCGTCACGTTAAACCCTTAGGTAGGCTAGTCAGGTAGAAGCTAACCCTGTCTTCCGATCCAGACACAAACTCATGCATGTCCTTATCAGTTTCCAGGAAGATGGCATCCTCTTTAGCTTTTTCTGCAGGGGATACAACCCACGTTTTCCTCTTAGAAGATGGCACAAGGCTGGAGGCCAGGACATGGGCACAGGTGCTTTCTCCAATGTGCCCTTTACCAAGCACATGGCACCTGCAGGCTCATCTCCGTGAGCATCGCACCACGGCCAACACCACTCAGCTCCCAAGGGCTTCCAAGGGCAGCCACAGGCAGCTTCGAGGTGCGTGATGCTGGTTTCCCTTTATCACCAGACAGAAATCTGTGAATGTTCCCCCACGTCCCGCCTGGTTCAGGGTTCAGGATCTGGAAGAGGGGCCGCACACAAATGAAAGAGACGAGACAAGAGATAATTTGGAAATTGGGGGGCCAGGCAAGAGCCCATCCCAAGAGGATGGACTCCGCTTGTGCTCAGGCCTTGCCACCCTTGTATTGAGTTTGGGATCCTCCCATAGCCCTTAGGCAGGCATGTTCCAGTAACAGGCAGACTATCTTATCAGTAAGGATTTGGTGGGGAAGTTGCTTCAGCTACCATCGTCTTGACTAAACAGTGGGTGCATAGCCCTGACCTTTGCCAGGGCTTCAAGGGTCACCAGCCTTCCAGTCTCCTTGTCCACACCTCTCTGCTAGAGAAGACAGTAGGCGGCTTCCCACAGAAATCCATGTCTGGGGCTTAAAATGATCAAAAATGGCACCGTGTTTGGCCTTGTCTTGAGACTTTACAGCCCATGGGACCCAGCAGAGGTCCCGCTGTCCAGCAAGGCACTATGGGTGTGGTGAAGTGTTGGTGGAGGAACAGCCAGGTTCAAGCTCCTCAGTGACACCTGCAATGCATTCTGGGTACATGCACAAGACACAGAGCAATGAACAGTTCCCGTTTGCTCAGGACACCTTTGCCTTCTGGGTCACCTAATCCCAAATCTTTCCAAGTGTCAGATCTGGAAAGCAGCAGCATCAGAAGCCAATACCCTCAGGGATGGCCTGCACCACCGTCTGCAGCATTTTTCACATGCAGGGGTCCCACTTGATAGCTGTGTCAGGAAGAGCTGGGCCGGCACAGCCACGGTGCTCCCATCCTGCACGGGAGGGGAAGGAAGGACAGCAGACAGGGGCGGGGCGGGGAGGAAGAGGTGGGTGCATGGGAGGCAAGCCCTTCCCTCCTCTCACCCCCTGGGGTTTCCCTTTCATGTCCATTCCTATTGGACACTCCCCTCCCACACACCTGCTTTTCCACAGAGAGTCCCCTCCAGGGCTGTCCTGATGTTCAGGACGCAAAGAGGTGGAGAGTGTCCTCTCTCCCTAAGTTAGCATCTGACTGTGATGTGCCCAGCAGGGCCCACGCCAAAGGTGAGCCTCACACTCACACCTGGACAGACGCCCATTCCCGGCTAGAATGGACTGAATCCATTTCACACACACACAGGGGACATGTAGCTCATTGCTGACCATGGGCTGGGTCCATGGACAGAGAGACCCCAGTGCCCATATCCAAAGCATGTGAAGGGGGCTTCCAACTTTCATCTTGAGTCCAGATCCCCTCCCTGTGTGTGGCCACCTGGGGTCCCTCTCCTGTCCACACAGAGGTGGGAAACTCCACACTGATGACTTCTGGCTGTACCCAGGCACAGTAGCCACTCAGCTTTCGCAGTGGTTGTCTATTCTGCTTCCCTCTCCATCTGGGGAGCTTCCACTTCCCTTTTTGGGCATGAGGATGGCCACATGTTTCAGAAATAGTGCGCATAACCTTTCTCAGTATCCGGACCACACAGGGATTTGTATGTTGGTATAACGATCATCCGATTCTTGCGGAGTTCTGAACAACACCGCTCATGGCTCACCTCACAGGCTTAGTCAGGTGTGGAAGTAAACCAGGATGGCTCCCTCCAAGTCCCACGGCACTGACCCCACAACCCTCTAAGGCAGTGGTTCTCAACCTTCCTAATGCCGCGACTGTTTAATACAGTTCTTCATGTTGTGGTGACCCCCAACCATAAAATTATTTTCGTTGCTACTTCATAACTGTAATGTTGCTACTGTTATGAATCGTCATGTAAATATCTGATAGGCAGGATGTATTTTCATTGTTACAAATTGAACATAATTAAAGCATAGTGGTGAATCACAAAAACAATATGTAATTATATATGTGTTTTTCGATGGTCTTAGGCGACCCCTGTGAAAGGGTTGTTCGAAAGGGGTCGCGACCCACAGGTTGGCGACCCACAGGTTGAGAACCACTGCTCTAAGGAGTTGGGTTCTTGACGACATGCTGCATGAGAGGAAACTGAGACTCAAGAGATTGTATAGTTGAGGGTGAAGGTCACACACCTAACGGACAATGGAAGACTATTTAAATGAGAATCAGCCAACTGGCATTGCTCAGGGGTTGTGCATCGATCTATGAACTAGGAGGTGAGGTTTGATTACCAGTCAGGACCCATGCCCAGGTTGTAGGCTCGATCCCCTGTGTGGGGCGTGCAGGAGGCAGCCAGTCAGTGATTCTCTCTCATCATGGATGTTTCTATCTCTCTCCCTCTCCCTTCATCTCTGTAATCAATAAAAATATATTTATATAAAAATTAAATAAATAAGAATCCGTTTTGTTCCCCAAATCGGAGGAATCACACACCTATTGTCCACTAACGGTGAAGACAGAGACCCGGGACGAGGGGAGAGACCTTCCTGAGGAACAAGGGCACTAAGGGGAGGAGGGACTCAGAGGCGCGTTCCCAGGCCGCTGGGGTGGATGCTGTTGCAAGAAAGGGGAGTTGACCAGGGGCGGGGATAGGAAGAGACCACACTCTGGGGCCAGAGGGGGAGACCTGTTTCCTTCTCTTATTTCCCTGCATCTCCCCTCTGCTCATTGTCACAGTGACATTGCCCTGAGCTGCACAGTTGGAGGGTGAGCTTGTCCCTGCTGATCTGAGCTCTAGTTTATTTAAGTGTAAAGTTAGATTTTTATTTAAAATTTTTAAAAATATGTTTTTGTTAATTTGAGAGAGAGAGGAAGGGAGACAGAGAGGGAGATAGAAACATTGGTTGACTGCTTCTTGCATGGCCCTATTGGGGGATTGAGCCCACAACCCACGCATGTGCCCTGACCAGGAATCAATCCAGCTACCTCTTGATGCATAGGACTATGTGCCAACTGTGCCACACCGGCCAGGCTGTAAAGTTAGATTCTTTATATCAATTTTAAAAAATATATATTTTATTGATTTCAGAGAGGAAGGGAGAGGGAGATAGAAACATCAATGGTGAGAGAGAATCATTGATTGGCTGCCTCCTGCATGCCCCACAATGGGATCAAGTCCATAACCTGGGCATGTGCCCTTGATGGAATTGAACCTGGAACCCTTCAGTCTGCAGGCTGACACTCTATCCACTGAACCAAACTGGCTAGGGCTATATTATTATTTTGTTTCTTGAGGTAAACCTATATAACTATGAACTTTCCTTTTAAAACTGCTTTTGTTGCATCCCATAAATTTTGAAAAGTTCTGTTTTTGTTTTCATTTGTCTCAAGGAAGTTTTTGATTTCCTGTTTTACTTCCTCTTTAATCCACTGGTTGTTTAGTAGCATATTGTGTTTTTTTAAAAAATATATTTTTATTGATTTTTTTACAGAGAGGGAGAGAGATAGAGAGTTAGAAACATCGATGAGAGAGAAACATCGATCAGCTGCCTCCTGCACATCTCCTACTGGGGATGTGCCCGCAACCCAGGTACATGCCCTTGACCGGAATCGAACCTGGGACCTTTCAGTCCACAGGCCGACGCTCTATCCACTGAGCCAAACCGGTTTCGGCTAGTAGCATATTGTTTAGTCTCCACGTATTTGTATTTTTTCCCAACTTTTTTCTCCCTATAGTTGATTTCTAGTTTCATACCATTGTAGTCAGTAAAGATGTTTGATATGATTTTAATCTTCTTGAATTTATTGAGGTTTGTTTTGTGGCCTAATATGTAATTTATCCTGGAGAATGTCCCACGTGTACTTGTTTATTCTGCAGTTTTTAGATGAAATGTTCTATCAATATCTATTAAATTGGTCTGACCTAATGTGACATTTAAGGCCATTATTTCCTTTTTAATTTTGTTTGGATGATTTATCCATGGATATAAATAGGGTGTTTACTGTGATTTTCTCCCTTTATGTAATTACCTGCTACTATTTGGTTGTTGTAAATATTTACCATTGTTATATTCTTATTGATCCCTTTATAGTTATGTAATGTCATTTTTTTGCATTCTTAGTTTTAAAGTCTATTTTGTCCAACATGAGTATTGCTATACCAGCTTCCTATTTGCATAGAATATTTTTTCCATCCTTTCAGTCCAGTCTATGTCTTTCAATTTTATTTTTGTCTTTATTATTAAAAGTATTACAGATGTCGCCTCCCCCGCCATTGACTCCCTCCACCGGACCCGTCCCCACCTCTCCCCTCCAAGCCTTCACCACACTATTGTCTGTGCCCAGGGGTTATACATATATACATACTAATTCTTTGGTTAATCTCTTCCCCCAATTCCTGCCTTCCCTCTGAGATTCCAGTCTTCCCATGCTTCTATATCTCTGGATCTATTTTGTTCATCAGTTTATTTTGTTCATTAGATTCCACATATGGATGAGATCATGTGATACTTGTCTTGCTCTGATTGGCTTATTTCACTTAGCATAGCACTCTCCAGGTCCCTCCATGCTGTCTCCAAGGGTAAGAGAGCCTTCGTTTTCACTCCACAGTAGAATGTGAGGCCTATGGCTCTGTGCCATTTCAGTTCCACCAAATGCTTAGGGATTTTAAGGGACTACCAACATCTCATTCCATATGCCAAGAAACTCATGCTTCAGACTAGAAAACAACCTATTTTGGAGTTAAGGGCATCAGGTGACCTGGATAACCATGGGACGGCCACTTTGCCACAGGGTCTCCCTGTTCCTGACCTCCGGTCCTTGGGGAAGCCTGCATTAGGGACTCTGCTCTGACTGTCCATCTATGGGTAGCAGTTAGCGCCAGCAGGATGCTTCTTAGGAGTTACATTCAGTGATGTATTATTAAGGTCATGTATTTTTTTTAATTAAATCTTTACTGTTCAGATTATTACATTGGTTCCTCTTTTTTCCCACCATAACTCCCCTCCACCCAGTTCCCACCCCACCCTCCGCCCTCACTCCCCACCCACTGTCCTCATCCATAGGTGCACGATTATTGTCCAATCTCTTCCCGCACCCCCCACACCCCTTCCCCCCCCACCAAGAATAGTCAGTCCATTCCCTTTCTATGTCCCTGATTCTATTACAATCACCAGTTCATACTGTTCATCAGATTATTTATTCACTTGATTTTTAGATTCACTTGTTGATAGATGTGTATTTGTTGTTCATAATTTGTATCTTTACCTTTTTCTTCTTCTTCCTCTTCTTAAAGGATACCTTTCAGCATTTCATATAATACTGGTTTGGTGGTGATGAACTCCTTTAGCTTTTTCTTATCTGTGAAGCTCTTTATCTGGCCTTCACTTCTGAATGATAGCTTTGCTGGATAAAGTAGTCTTGGTTGTAGGTTCTTGGTATTCAACACTTTGAATATTTCTTGCCATTCTCTTCTGGCCTGCAAAGTTTCTGTTGAGAAATCAGCTGACAGTCGTATGGGTACTCCCTTGTAGGTAACTGATTTTCTTTCTCTTGCTGCTTTTAGGATTCTCTCTTTGTCTTTTGTTCTTGGCATTTTAATTATGATGTGTCTTGGTGTGGTCCTCTTTGGATTCCTTTTGTTTGGGATTCTCTGTGCTTCCTGGACTTGGAAGTCTATTTCTTTCACCAGGTAGGGGAAGTTTTCTGTCATTATTTCTTCAAATAGGTTTTCAATATCTTGCTCTCTCTTTTCTTTTGGCACCCCTATAATTCGGATGTTGGTACGCTTGAAGCTGTCCCAGAGGCTCCTTACACTATCTTCGTATTTTTGGATTCTTTTTTCATTTTGCTTTTCCAGTTGGGTGTTTTTTGCTTCTTCGTATTTCAAATCTTTGACTTGATTCTTGCGATCCTCTGGTCTGCTGTTGGGAGTCTGTATAATATTCTTTATTTCAGTCAGTGTATGCTTAGATTTCTTGAAGATCTCACTACATTTATCGGCGGTCTCACCAGTCTTCTTGAAGATCTCACTACATTTATCGGCGGTCTCACCAGTCTTTTCGAGGGCCTTATTAAATTTATCGGCGGCTTCTAGACAGTTCTTTAAAGACCTTAAAAGTGTGGTTTTGAACTCTATATCCAGCAGTTTTCTTTCCTCCATTTCTGTCGTTTGTGTCCTGTTTCTTTGTCTCGGCATTTTTTATGCTTCGCTGTGTCGATAAGAGTGCTTTTCTGTGCTAAGTGCCCCAATTACCTGAGGTAGACACTCTTGGTGCACCCCCTTGTGGGCTTTGTGCACAGTCTTCTTGTAATTAAGCCTTGATTGTTGTAGTTATCACTGGGAGGGATTGACCTCCAGGCCAATTGGCTGTGAGAAGCAGCTGTGTCTGCAGTGGGAGAACTTCTGTGCTGGAGACACCCCTCTGGGACTAGACTTGCTTCGATGGGGCTTTGATGCTCACTGAGTCTGCCTCCTGAGTGTGTCCTTTATGTTTCCACGGAGCTGCAAACTGGATGGTCCCACTCTGACCTCTGGGCTTCCTGGCTCCTGGATCTCTAGGGAGGTGCTAATCTAGCCTTTGCCTGTGGCTATCCAGCAAAAGCCTCCCTGCAGGGCTTGGGCGGGGCGGGTCCCTCGGGATCAACAGGGCAGGGCTAGCAGTTATGGCTGCTCTCAGTCTTGCCCTCAGAGGCTCTGCTTCTCAGTGTCCCGGTAATCGCTGCAAGCCCCTCAGAGAGAAAGCTGCCCTTGGGTTCTGACCCATGCCAGACAGTCCCGCTTCTCCCTTATGAGTCTGGGTCCCTAGAGACTCACCCGGAACTGGAGCTCAGAGCCTGAGACTCCCTCCCGATTGAAAACGACAACTGCGCCCTCAGCCGCCAGCCCGCTCCGCATGCACTCCGCACCTTAGTATTTTACTTCCGCACTGCGCCTCCTCTGAGTCTCGGTATGCTTTTCTCTTTCCTTCTAGTTGTAGAATTTCCACTCAGCCAGCCTTCCTGTGGTTCTGGATGATGTCCTTTCCGTCTTTTAGTTGTATTTTTGAAGTGGTTGTTCGAGGCAGCAAACTCCGGTGTTTACCTATGCCGCCATCTTGGTTCTCCTTCCTTTCTTCTTCTAAGGTCATGTACTATTAAGGTCACGCATGAATTATGTGCACTTACAGGTCGAGATAAATTATGCCAATATAGGAGCATCAAAATTATTGTGCCTTCTCTATATCCTCTTCCTACCTCCAAAAGAAATGTCAGACATGATGTGACAAATCTGAAAGGACGTACCAAGAGTTCCCCAAAACGTCTTCAAGCCATTAGAGAATGTCCTTTTAGGTCATTGCTATTCAAACACATAAGCAGCCAATCGATGGGAATAGCATACAGCTAGGTGGGGGAATTCTGAGTTTGGGGTTGTGACTAAACTAAAATTCCATGTATTTCTCACCAGCGTTGGTGACAGTCTCCCATACATTCTAATGTGCCATGCTAAGAGGGGTTCAGTGTTGCTGGAACAACCAAATAGGTATGAACAAAGCTCTTCACTGATATGCCTCAGGCTCTAGATCAGGTGCAGGCTGTCTCGAATTAGCCAGGACCACAAATTTCCGCCAGGACTCCTTCTCTGGCTCACCTCAAGATCCCTAGCGAGATCAATATTTGCTTCGGAAAAATATGCAAAGAGGATGATCTCATTACTAAATGACTTAGCAGCCAAGGGGGAGGAGTGTAACTCAAATCCAGAGATGTCACAAGGAACTGAGAGAACAAAAGGTGCCCGGAGCCTGCACCGACCCGTCTGTACACCTTGATGGGACCCCTGGAGAAAGGTGTGCCACTGCCCCAGCCCCATGCCACCTTCCCTTTGTAGCGTGTGAATGACTCACAATTTGTGGCGTCATCTCCTAAAGCCTCCAGAGTATGTAAGCATGAGTATCCGATGGAATATGCTGCTTAACTAGAAATGTGCTTAACACAGAGCATCACCTGGCACAGGCTTGCTTCTATTTCTCGTATTTATTAAAGGGCAAATTAAACTTCTTCATTGCCCAAATTGAACCTAATTTACAACCACTTAAAATGGTGGAATCCCCCTGGGTCATGAAAAAACAAAACCCTCTTGTTTTTCTGGTTATTTGGGTCATTTGAACAAAGATGCATCCTCACCGCCATGAGCCCAATGCTGGTTTTGAGCTGTGAACACAGCAAGGAGCAGGTCAGCACTGCCCTGCCAGGTTTCTGTCTCATGTCAATGCGGCCCACTGTCCTTTCCAGCCCAAGCAACCCTTCCTGAAGACTATTCAAGCAACACCAAGAACAATGTGAAATCACACTTTGCATTTAAGGAACACACGAAATGTGCATCTGAATGGTTTTTAAAATTTTGTTTTTAATTCATCCCCACTCCATATGCAGTCTAAAAGACGGTTCAGACATCTGCCGGTTTCTAGACCACCTGTTTGAGGTGACTGGATTTGACACATTTCTTTTTCTCGAGTGGTGATGGCCCCTTCTGCTTGTTTGCTCAAATCCGCACTCTTGCCTGTTCCCCCGGGGGGCACACACACACTTGGGACAGTCGCTGGGCTAATCTCATTTTGGACACTTTTATGTTTGCTACCTGGCCTTTTTAGGTCAAATCTCAATCGTGGGCTCACTGGAGTCATGCTCTAGTCAACAGAGCTATAAATGCTAAACAGTTAAGAGGCAAATAAGCAAAATCAACTTTTGCTTTTCATATTTCCTAGGTAAAATTTGGGGCTTTAAAAAGAAGTATCTTATGGAAAATGAAAAAAGTCTAAGTGAGCATTTAAAAAGGATTTTTGTTACCAACAACAGAGAAACACAATTTAATTCCATTTGTTCCATGGAGAAGAAAACAGGTATTAAAAGGAAGTGACTTTATATTTAGATTTAACATGGGTCCTAACCTAATAATAAAACTGTTTTGTTAAAACCACCATAAAAATTAAAACTAATCTGAAATATAATTGCAGTGTTCTTTAGGATTTGAGAGAAATGTTGCAGGGTGAAGCGAATGTTCCCTTGGGTTGCCAAATGCATTCCGAAGAGTGTTTCTTAGGCGGTGGGAATAGAAGGCCAGTGTCAATCTTGTTTATCCATAAGGACTAACCTTCAACTACACGGACAGATTTAAGGCTTGCCCTACCGCAATGTCCAAGTATCGGAAATTGTAAGCTAGATGTACCTGCATGGGAAGTTTTTTTCACAACTCACACCGGAATAAAGAAGCTCTCAGAAAAGGGAAAAAAAAGCCACTGTGTGGCAACCTGCAAGGAAAACCCTAATGTAGAAGAAAAACTACTTATTTTTTTTCAACCGCAGAGTTTGTTTTTGAAAATCCACCTACTGCCCTGGCCAGTGTGGCTCAGTTGGTTGAGCGTCATCCCCTGCATCGAAAGGTGGTGGGTTCGATCAATTCCTGGTCCATGCATGTCTGGGAGGCAACTGATGGATGTTTCTCTCTCTTAAAAAAAAATATCAATAAAGACATACCCTCAAGTGAGGATTGAAAAAAAATTCAGCTACTTAATAGTAAAAAGTCAAGGTTTTTGTTTGTTTTACATGAGAAAGGAGTGTAAATAAGTTCATAAACCAGTATACAAATGTTTATGAGCCAGTAAATTTAAAAAGACAACAAAGAAAGCTGCATGGATCCTAAGAGGATATGTGATACATCCCCTCCAGTCAGAGGTATTGTGAGAACAGTCTACGTCCCTCAGAGCGGGCAGCATGGAATCAGGTGCTGCACAGTGGCGGTACCGGCAGGCAGCACTGCGCTCAGTTATTCCCTAAAAGGAATAGAGGAAGGAAAACAAGCGCAGTTCTGATTGCTCTTTTCACATTTCAGCCTCTCAGAACTCCATCCCAAACAGAGAGAGACCCTGAAGAAGCCCTCTGCCGCGGTCCCTGCGGGAGAGTTGGGAGTGGCAGGGTTCCTGCTGAGGGCGGGCTGGGCGCGGGAGAAGCCCACTGCCACAGGTGGCCGCTCACAGGGGCTGGGCTACGACAGCAAGCAAGTGGCCCTGAGGCCCCGAGGTCCTGGCTTTCCAGTCTGTGACGCGGCTGTGGGCCTGCGGGGCACCGACCCTTCTACTGTGGGTTCTGTTGGTTAAAAACACAACAGTTGCATTCGCAGCACTTCAGTTATTTAAAAACAACAACTTTATCCTCCTTTCCCTCATCCAACTGTAAGAAAGGAGAAATTCATTAAGCATTTATTTTCAGGTTTCTGAATTGCTATTAAAATTCAATTAAATGTAAAACCTAATAGCCCCAAATTGTTAGGATTATCTCAAGGGACCCTGAATTGGGCAGTGAAAGTTGACATCAACTGAAATGAGCTGGACTTCCGCTGTTGGCTGTCTCCAGGCCGGCAGCCGTCTGTTGTCCCCCCCGGAGTGGTCCCTGCCACCCCTTGGTGAGAGCGCTGGGCAGCAGCAGGGTGTGGTCTGGGGGAAGCTACTGGTTTTGCCTGTTGCTTCCAGAATCACAGAGACTATGATGAACTTGACGTTGAACACTGCTGAGTCCTGAGTTGGGGAAAGCCTGTGGAGGAGGGCCGAGTTCAGAGGCTCTTCCCTCCTTTGCCTGGTGTCATACATGGCCCCTGGCTCTCTCTTCTTCCACTGCTTGACTTCCTGTTTCTTTTTCATTGGTGACCCCTCCTAAAGTCTTGCCCGTTGCTTTACTGGCCTCTTCCTGAGGAAGAAAGAGTGGAATGCTCAGTTAGCTCCTGGCCCGCAGACGGTCTGTCCGCTCTAACGGGAGAGGGCAGCACAGGACTACTCAGGCTTCCCAGCTGCCCATGGAGTGGGAGCGGTTACTTGTCTTCAGTTAAAATGACCAGCTTTCCACTGTTTGATAACCAGGTCCCCGTGGCAAGCTGGAGGGGAGGGTGAGCTCAGGAGCAGAACGCAGCCTGCAGCCGGGGAGCAGGCCTCTCTCACCCCGTGCCAGGCTGGCTCCCGAGCCTCCAAGTAGAGGGCATGCGGTGGGCAGCCCCACCACAGCCCATTTCCTGGCAAACAGAGGTCTCAACATGGAGGTATTACCTGGAAAAAACCTGATGTGCTTGATTTTCTTAAAAAGAATAAAAGCTTTAGTACATATCTAGGCAGTCGCTTTGCCTCAGCTCCTGCATGGACAGGCCAGTGCCTCTACTACGGGCCCTGGTGAGCAGAGCAGCCCCACGCTCCCTCTGGACCAGCCCAGCCTCTCAGCTCAGAACCTGTTTCCTTGGGCTGTGCCTGGGTGTGGAGCTGTCCCCTGAGACTATAAATCAAAGGGCGAGGTCAGTTCTGATCTCCCCGACGGCCAGTGCGCCCCGCACACACCTTGGCGTCCTGCTCCGCAAACTTGGCGAACATGTTGGCGTAGATTCTGCGGTCCCGCTCGTTGTGCTCCTTCGCCTTTTTCTGGCACATGGAGATCTGCAGCCGCGCGGCCTTGTTCTGGGGGTTGACTGCCAGCACCTTCTCGAAGTCGCCCTTGGCTGACTCGAACTCGTTCATGAGCAGCTGGGCCTCACCCCTCCGGTACAAGCCCTTCTCATTGGCACTGTCTAGTCCCAGGGCCTGGAACACAAAGTGTATGTTTCAGAAAGAATGAGTGTAACTTGTGGGACTTTGAAAGAAACTCAGTATTTAAATAACTTACTAAAGCTCTCTAGCCAGGGAATTAGAAAAAGTGTATTGAAAAGATGTGCTCAAGGTTATTACATACTACTGATCAAAACACAACTAATTACCCAAACCAATTCCTGTGTTTAATAAAATTTCTCTAAAGACCCCAAAGGATTTGGAAGGGGGATCTTGAGAAGTTCATTTTACAGTTCAATTGAAAGGAGTAAATGACCAAGAATAGCTGAGAAAATCTTGGATAAACAAAAATAATAAGAGGAGAATTGCCTTACCTGAGAAAAAGATATACTACCAACTACTGACATTAAAACAGTTTGGTTAGTAGTCCGTGAACAAACAGGTCAGTGGAGCAGAACAAAGCAAGACAGACTATGTAAATTAGTAAGGAAAGGGTTAACTTGACAAAAAAAAAGGGGTCAAAGCAGTAGCTATCCATGTAGAAAATAAGACTTAATTCTTACCTCACATTATAAACACAAAAATAAGTTCTAAATCAAGTATATTTACATGCACTGCCCAATAAAAATAATAGATTTTTAAAATTATTTTTTTAAAAAGTAAACCTAGTTGGAGTAGGTATTGCAAGTACTGAATTGGGTTATTTTTATACTCTTAGGGTGGGGAAGACTTCTAACCAGAAAGGAAAAGACAGATTTGATTCCGTCAACATTAAAACTTTCTTTATGGAAAAAGATGCCATGTCAAGTTAAAAGACAAGTAAGGAGAATGGGGTCCTAGTGTCCCTACTGCCAGACAAAGCGTTCAGAGTCATAATGTATAGATTGTCTCAATCAACTGAAAACAGACCAATAATGCAGTCGAAGAAGGTGAACAGGCAATCACAGAAGTAAAACAATGAAAATAATGTGCAATAAGAAATGAAAAAAATTTGTCAGTTGAGGAAAAAACTACTGATAATCTTCAATAATAATATATATTTAAATTTAAAATGTTACTGTATTAAAATTATTGTCTTTTGACCCAGTATTTCCACTTCTAGGAATTTATCCTATAGAAACAATCCCACAAGTATGCAAAGAGAGACACCACATAATCTGTAACATCACAACCTGGATATCTACCAAAGGGATGGTGAGATACACCACAGATGTGTGCAATGGATCCTCAATAGATATTTAAAAGACTGATAGATCGATCATATGCAGAAAAATGTCCTCGTTTTATAAAATTATGTGTCTAAATCTACACATTCTAATTTTTAAAAGAACTTATACATATATATTACTCTACACCAGGGTGGGCAAACTTTTTGACTCGAGGGCCACAATGGGTTCTTCAACTGGACCGGAGGGCCAGAACAAAAGCATGGATGGAGTGTTTGTGTGAACTAATATAAATTCAAAGTAAACATCATTACATAAAAGGGTACGGTCTTTTTTTTTTTTTTTTTTTTAGTTTTATTCATTTCAACCCTTGGCGAGCAGCAGCAAAGGCAGACCAGGGATGAGGCTGGAGAGATGTGTGGCCTCTGCAGTCCGGCCTCGCAGACGCTACCTTATCGCAGCACTCCACAGCTTTGGTGTATTCTCGGAGCTTCAGGTAGCACATGGCCAGGTTCAGGAAGGCAGCGAGCAGGAACGACTCGGAAGCTTTCGATTCCTTTTCGGACAGGCCGTATTCCATCTCGAGCCAGGACACTATCTTCCCGTACTGAATGACCGCCTGCAGGTACTTGCCTCCCTAGGAGAGAAGAGCTGGGCATTACTCTTTACACAGGCTCTAGAGGGGCACACGAGAAGTGTAAGCCCAGGCCTCCCTGGGAATACCAAACCCTCTAAATGGAAACCTCCTCATACAAACCCTGGGATTTCATGATTTGTTTCTGTTCTCAGGGGTGGCTAGCCAGGCACTTTTCCATTCTCTCTGAAGTCCAGTGACCAGTGAGCTGGTCAGGACAGAGGCTGCCCCGCACTTACCTTGTCCTGTTCCAAGGGGGCAGTGCTCTCAGCGAGGAGGCAGCAAGGCATTGGGGTTGCATTCTGTGGTGCTGATATCTATCTATCTATCTATCTATCTATCTATCTATCTATCTATCTATCACCTATCTATCTATCTATCATCTGTCTATCTATCCATCCATCCATCCATCCATCCAACCATCCATCCACTTTCCAAAAGGCTGGTGTGTAGTTCCAGACCCTGTCACTAGGTTACTGAAGGGGAAGTGCCTTTTCCCGGGCTCCTAGGTGTCAACACTGTGCAGGAAATACATCCTGGCAAATCTAGTGACCTACACCAGGGCCGGCAAACTTTCTGCATGCACTCCACCCTCACTCACTGAGAGAGGTCTACAAGAATGTCCCTGCTACAAAGGACCTCAAGGGGTTGGCTTAAGAAATGAGCTCACCTGGAAGGAAGCCCTGATGTCGATTTTGGGTGAGGATGAAGTAGACCAGTGCCAAGTGGAGTCTGGGTCTGAACGAGGCCAAAGCTGCACCCCACTGAGCACCCCTCTTCAGAGGGAGCTTAGGAAAGGGGCGACAGAGAGCTCCCCGTTCCACTTGACAAAGGCAGTGCTGAAGGACTGAGGTTTCTGAAGGAGGCTACTAAAGTTAGTCTGTTTCTTCTCCACCTCAGAAATTTGTGATTCAGGTTGGAAGAATATGAAACCAGGCCCTTTCAGAGTAAATGCTGAAATTCTTGAGGAAATCATATTGTACTTCCTATGGACTGAACTGAACCCCTCCCAATTCATACACCGAAGCCCTGCCCCCAATGTACTGTTTTTGGAGATGGGACCTTTGGGAGGCAATCAGGTTTAGGGGAGCCTTGTAGGGGGTGTCCACCAGATAGAATTAGTTCCCTGCTTCCTCTCACCCCACCCACAGCAGCTAGGGAAAGTCACGTGAGGACACAGCAAGAAGGATGCCTTCTGCGACCCAAGACCCTGCTGGCACCCTGGCCTTGGACTGCCATCTCCAGAACTGTGAGGAAGGCATTCCTATTGTTCAAGTCCAGTCTCGGGCGTTTCACTGTGGCAGCCGAGGTAACTAAGACATAGTTAGTTAGGTGCGCCTTTTTGGGCACCAGGTGAAGCAGCCCTCCCCAGTGTCAGGGTTGGCGTTTTCTCTCTGTCACCCTCTCCTGCTGGACCGGGAGCTCTTCGAGGACAGGAAGCATGTTCCAACCCTTTTGGAGTATTGAGGGTTTAGCACAAACAGGCCCTTAATGAAGGTTTGCTGACTAATATTAAGGTCAAGGAATATAATTATGGAATCCAAAGATCTATCATTGGGGGCAATGTGGAGGTGGGTAGAAATGAAGGGTGTCATTTCATTTAGATCAGGTAAGGACATTTTCCCATATGCCTAGTTTCTTCTTCCTCTTTCCTCCTTCACTAATGCACCTATTAAGTTCTAATTACCTCCTCATATATTGTTATAGGAAAAGAAAAGGAGAGCCAGGGAGGACAAAGACCAGATCTTATAACTTCGGTGGGTTTGGAATAATCAGAATGGTAGAAGTCTACAGTTTCTAAAAAGAAAAACAAGTAATAGACTTCATAGTAGTTCCTTTACATTGAAAGAGCATTTTAATTTCTTGAAAGCTCTTTCATATATATCATAATCATACATAATTTTATTTAGATCACTTCTAACGAGCACAGTACAGGTAATTTGTTTTGTGGTACTTCTGCTCCTGATGTGCTAACAGGAGTTCTTTACTGGGGTGACTGTGGCCTCCGGGACATTTGGCAATGTTTGGAGATGTCCTTTAGTCGTCATGTACTAGTGGCATCTAGTGGGTAGAGGCAAGGAATGCTGCTAAATAACTTACAATGCCACGGCAGTCTCCCACTAACACAGAATCATTTGGCCCCAAATATCAATAGTGTTAAGGCTGAGCAATCCTGGAGTAAAAGAATGCAGAAGGAGCCCTGGCCGGTGTGGCTCAGTTGGTTGGAGCATCGTCCCTTGCACCAAAAGGTGGCAGGTTCAATTCCCAGGCAGGGCACATACCCAGGTTGCGGGTTTTATTTCTGGTTGGGGTGCCTCTGGGAGGCAACTGATCAGTTTCTCTCTCACATAGATGTTTGTCAGTCTCCCCGCCTCCCCCCCGTTAAAATCAATTTTTAAAAAATGTAGGAGAAAAAAGCAGGGTTGACTCATAAATGGCTTGTTTCTAAATCATAGCACTCGTTTCTTGGTTCAGGAAGGGTGGTCAAAACATAGTAAAGCCTGTTTGTCTGAAAAGGGTTCCGTGGTTGAAAGATGATCCTTAACTAGCTTGCTTTGGAAATGCCTTTTCCCCACAGAGCACAAGGGGGCGCCCCATGTCACTGCTGGGTCCTCAGCCTTCTCGCCACCGCATGGTCAGAAGAGAGAAACACTAAGCACGTGTGATAGTGAAGGCTTTGTCCTGCAGATTGCTGCCAGCAAGAGGGAGGAAATGAAAACCATTTCTGTTTCCCTCAGGTGCACAGCGCCTGGCATGATGTCACGTTTTACCGAGGCTTAATTATGTTTAGAGCCATGTGAAAAGAGTCCTCTCCTACCTTTCTTCCCTTCAGTGTTCAGAGGCTGGTAGGAGGAATGTACAATCTACACAGCAAAATCATTCCTATTTAGCTAACCAAAATCCAACCCTCCTAAGGAGAGAGATTTATGCACTAAAGTGTAAACCAAATCGCAGATCAATGGAACTGGAGCTCGAATGTCCTGATGGCATGAAATGCACATTTTTATGTCACCATCTCTGCTGTCACCCAGTTTGGACGTCTCTGCCTGCATGTGCACAACGCTCCAAGTCAGTCCCCGGAAAGACGAGGCCCAGGAGGGCAGGGTGGAGGGCTGAAACCTGCCCTGAACTCTGGAAAGGGAATGTGGACAGGAAACGACCCACCGACCGGTTTGAGGCCTTAGAGCTAAAAGTAGGCTCACTGCCGGGATCTTTTACCTCTAATTAGGAAGGTGCCTCTGGGGAAGTGTTCAGAAGTACAAAATGTTCAGAGACATTCTGGGAGAAAGGCTTAAGGTCAGTGGTTTTGAACCTTTCATTAATTTTCCCCCAATAGCCTAGTGTTTTGAAAGATTTCGTCTGTCAAATTGCATGTTAAAAATAATATGTTCCATATGTGTGACTGCTGATCCAGATTTTATTCAAAGATCAGTAATTTTAAGAGGGTTCATAATATTATGAAACACACAAATCACTACTGCAGTTGTGGTGCTAAGAAGCAACCAAGTTCAGTAACTGTATAGACACCTAAGCAATGCTTTTTGCTACTGATCACAAATTCTGGCATCTCTCTGTATATATATTCGGGACACAGCCATATGGCCTGTGGCTTTGCAGCATTACTTCATTATCAGTAATGTTCCCCAAAGTTATGAGCCATCAGCAACCAATAGTTTCTGAATCGTCGAGCTGTTTTGCTACACTGAGTTGATATGATTCTAGTTAAATGCCAAGAGCCTCAACCCCCTGCCCCAACTATTAATGTTCTATTTAGAAGTTTGGGAAATATAAAAAAATACATTTAAGGACTTTAATGGACTCCAGGTATATAGGAAACACCATCCAGGACCTGTGGTCTAAAGGGATTTTTACAGAAAATTTTCTTTTTATTCTAGTGTACTGTGTATTTGGGTTTATAAAAAGCACACTTGGAATGAATAGTTTAGAAGTATCCAGTATACATAATTGAATTAAAAAATCAAACTTGCTCTTGAGAGTTTAAAAATTTATAGGATTTTAGGGCTGGAAGAAACTTGGGGATCATCTAATCTAACTCCCTCAACTGAAAAAATAACCTCTTTAGAATTTAAATGACTTTAAATCATTTGGAATCATAAAGCCCAGTTTCCAGTTCAGAGCTAATTTCATCACTGTTTTCTGGTGATCCATACAGTATATATAATAAGTGTTAAAAGTAAATATAAATAATTATGTATTATGTAAGCCAACATGTTTCAACTTTATTTAACCAAAACCCATAGTAAAAAATAAGTCTTAAAAAAGTCTTAAATTATGATCCACTACCCATTCATACACAAGTAAACAAAAGATTTATAAAACATTTATCCTTAGTACATAATGCAATATACATTTCCACAATACTGATTTCATGATCTAGTAATGGGTTTCCTATCCAAGTTTGGAAAACAATAGCCATGCATGCTGCTCCTGGGTGCATTCACTCTGCTTACGCAGGCTTACATAATTCTCCAGGCGTTTCATGTGAGTGCACGTCGCCTCCACTCCCTCCAGACAAGGCTGTCAACCAACAGCGTATCTTAGAAGCAATGCTCCACAAGGATTTGCTGAATCACAGTTGTGCATCGCTGCTGTAGACTGTTGAAAACAGCATCTGATTTTTGTTCTTGGATTGCAGTGGCAAGAAAAAAAGAAAGAAGGAAGCCTAACAACACTGCCCTTCTTCTCTAACTGCTCACTAAGCCCTTCGCGGATACAGAGCAGGTCCATGTTGGAGTGGGAAGCACTGAGGTGCACTGATTAGAACTGAACAGAGTGTTGTTTCTTTTTTGTCTTCAATCTGGGGGTTTAAGATCTAACTGAGGAAATCACATCTTCCTAGGTGTTACAAGAAATGGTTTTCGAGAAGCAATCAATGACAAAGATCATTCACAAAAGTAGGTGTATGGCCATCAGAAGAAATGAATCATCTCCTATCAGTTTCTTTAAAAAAATTTTTTTTTATTGATTTCAGAGAGAAAGGGAAAGGGAGAGATAAAAACATCAATGATGAGAGAATCATTGATTGGCTGTTTCCTGTACGCCCCCTACTGGGGATCGAGCCCGCAACCCAGGCATGTGCCCTTGACAGGAATCGAACCCTTCAGTCTGCAGGCTGGCACTCTATCCACTCAGCCAAACCAGCCAGGGCTCAATTAGTTTCTTTTGAAATCTGTGCCTGTTCTCTTTCCTTTTGTCACGTGCCTTAGTGACTCCACCAAGAAAGTGGAAAGGAAAATGATGTGAAACTTACCCTTATGAATTCCATTACAGCTAACAATTATTTTATTCTTTCTTTGTTTCATCCCATAGACACTCATTGAGTGCCAACTATGAACTAAAGCAAGATGCCTCACGTCTGCAGTGAGTGATCCAGTAGTGGTGGCTGGGCAAGCCACCCTGGTCTTTCTTCAGGGAGGGTTACAATCCAGAGTAGACCATGCAAAAGGGGTATCTGTGCCCTGGCCACGTGGCTCAGTTGGTAGGAGCATTGTCCTATACACCAAAAGGTTGTGGGTTCAATTCCCGTCAAGACACATACCTAGGTTGTGGGTTCAGTCCCCGGCTGGGGTACAAACAAGAGGCAACCGACGGATGTTTCTCTCTCACATTGGTGTTTCTCTCTCTCTAAAAATTAATAAGTATATCCTTGGTGAGGATTTAAGAAAAAAAAAGAGGCATTTGTATTCTTTTGTCACCTTAATTCATTCTTTCTCACTATTTTTTTATACTGTAAACGTAAACGATAGACCTGTAAAAATTCAGGCTTACTCTTATCTAGAGGGGGTGTTGATAATATTCATATCAGGGAATACCAGCACAGTTCATTAACCTCTGAGTGAGTTCTCTGAGACAGAAACTCACATACCTTGAAGTACACAGTTCCCTTCTCCTTGACGATGGCAGCCTGCTCCAATTTTTCTTTGGTATCCATCTCCCAGGATTCTTTGGCCTGTTACGTAAATATGTGACAATGGTTAGGTGAACAGAGAAGGAAAAGGCGTCAGCTGATGCCCATAGAACAAGCAGTAGCTCCTTGTAGAGGCCACCCACACCTCAAACACACTGTCTTTTAAAACTCTGCCACCACCAAAGTGAGTTCTAGTCACTGCCAGGCTAGAACTGGCTTTCCAATGACAGCTGCGCGGGACCCCGCTGCCCAGGAGACTGCAGCAGAGCGCGTCTGGAGAGGCGTGAGATGAGGCCACACAACGGAAGCTAGGGTCCCTATTTCCCTCCCATAAACGGCACCACTCAGTTGCCATTATGACTTGGAGCTGTTTCTCCCAGGCCTTGGTTTTCAACTCTAAAATGGGAACACTATTGCGGGCAAGTCACAGTTGTATATTCATGAGAATTTTTTAAATCCAGGCCATGTAGTTGTCTTTTCCACTCTAACGCAACCAGATATATAAAGCTTCCACACTGTATCCACCTGCAGATGTGTCCTTGGGGAATTTCAAGCAAAACATAATTGGGAGGGTAAAGCTGATGTAAAAACTAATTTCAAAGCCATAGATAAACGATTTAATGATCATCTTGCTCATTTGTATTATATGTCATTATTCTCCCTAATTAAAGGTACGAATCCAGAGACAACTGCACTTCCATTATGAACAACTGGATTTAGGAGGATCAGAGTCCACAGAACAATCTGGGGTCCTTCAGGGAAAACAAGGCTATGTCAGAGCCACTTGCTGTGTAGGAATTATAAGCTTAAATGGGTACCTGTAAAATTCTCTCTCTTTCAAGACACTTGGTGATGTATTCCTGGTGTTCCACTCCCACCCCTCCAAAGTAAATAATGAAAATTACTTGTCTTTTTGGCAACCCCATGTTGCTTCCCAACAAATTAGCTCTATCATTTAAAATTTAGAAACCAGGGTCCTTTGCGTTTTTCTATTAGGTTCAGTCTTTATGGAGTACTAAATGTCCTTAATACGAGGCAGAACATCAAATCGTGTTGCCTGCACAGCACACCCCTTCTTCACATTGTTTCAAATAAAGCAGGTTCATGGATACACCTGGGCAATGACAGACCCAGCTCACTGTGGGCAAAGGAGGGCCCCGGTGGGAAGGGACAGGGAGCTACTTCATTGAAATGGGAAGAGGAAAGTCAAACGCCCACATAACCATATGCAAGGGATGTTCTCTCTCTAACAATGTGGAGGCAGAGCTGCAGGATCAGTGCTGAGCTAGCAGGCCGTCTAAAGAGGTACTGTGACAAGAAGCAACGGTCAATGATGAGAACATGTCTGCTTTGAGGAACATGAGTGTGAGGTTTGATCAGCAGCATCACTGCTAGGGGAGAATCCCAAAGCAGGCCTCCCCTGCCTTCCTTAGCCCAAAGCTCCAGGTCTACTGGACTGACAATGGTCTCCTTTCAGAATCTAGTGAAAAATAGTGTTGTGTTTCCAGTCCAAAGCTTAATGCACAGAAGCTGGAGGGAGCCCTGGAGCGTAAGAAAGGCACACCAAATGAGGGCTCTCGGGAGGGGTGGGCTCTGGTGACTGCTGCACAGGGACTCAGCTGGACTCCACAGAATGTCTAGCTTGGGTACACGCTCTGTGCTTGTCCGGCGAGGCTGCTGCTGGGAGCTTCCAGGGGCAGGGAGATGGAAATACACTCTAGAGGCCTACTGTTTCTGCCCTCAAGGCCACTGACGAACTCTTTTTTTCTACTTGGACAGGTATGAAAAGAAAAGGCCTGGGGTTAGCAGGGTGTCCCTGTGTTCCTTGTCACAGAGCCTGGTGGCCCATGAAGCCTTGCATTTTTGGACAGTAACTTGGAGCCACGCTGAGGGCCTCTTCACCACTCCTGAGAAGGGTACAATCCGTTCAGCACTGGAAAACGGCGCCCCTCCTCCAAGGAGCGGCTTGGCAGAACGTGAACCTTTTTGTCTTCAACCCAGGAAAAAAAGTACAAAAAGAACAAGTCTAGGAACAAATAGGGAACAAGTGTTGGATTCTACCCAAAAAAGAAAAAAAGAAAAAAGAAAAAAAGGGCTGACACATAGGAACACACTCTGAACACTGCGCTTCGGAGCTGTGGGTCAGCCATGCTGGCTCAGGGGTCCCAGACAACACAACATGCAAGTAAGACCACTGACCTACGCCACCCAGAAATACATTCTATAGTTCATAGGAAGTGGGCAGAGAAGAAATATACCATGATTTCAGAGAAGTTGGTATTTTCTCACCTTTTCGAAGCTCTTAAGTGTAACTTCATATATAAGCTCAGCATTAGGTTCAATGCCAAATTTAGGCTTCCCTGCCTCTCCAAAACCATATCTGAAATGGAGAGTAGAAAAATAAAACTTTATAAGAATTGGCGTATTTCCAGGCACTTCCTTTGGTACTTTGTGGCATCACATGAGCGCAGAGCTAGCATCTGCAAACTACACAGACCGGAGACCCTGAGGACAAGCCAGATGCTGATCAGAAGACCTGCCAGGTGCCCCTGCGGCTTCAGGAACCAGGCCAGACTGAGCCTCCTTCCTTCTTCACATCCCCGTGCAATTGCAACACCTGTTCTCCCCGGGACAGCTTGCTTAATGTGGCCTTAATGTCACTGCCCTTTTCTCTGCTTGATTTTCTATCGAGTTCTTTTGATAAAACAGCCTTCATTTGGCTATTAGACCCTCCCCGAGGCCTCACCAGCAGGAGGGCGAGAAGACAGCCCTGTTGTCACAGTGCTGTGCCCACAGCGCTGTGCATTAGAGGCTTTAAGAAGCTTTCAACTCTGAAGTGCTGTCTCCATCAAACAGCACCACTTCCAGCAGATGAACGGGAGGGAAGGCTCACATAGCAGGGGGAAAAATACATTTTCACAGTATTTATTCAATAGTTTTAAAGAGCACACTAGAAAACACAAGTGACATAACTAATATACCACCAAAAAGAACAGCCCTAGCAAGTTCTAACCCCCATAAAAGACATACTTTCCCCCTGGCTGGTGTGGCTCAGTTGGTTGAACGTCCCGTATACTGAGGGGTTGCGGATTTGATCCCTGGTCAGGGTGCATGCAGGAGGCAAACGATTGATGTTTCTCTCTCTCCCGCTCTAAAAATCAATGAAAACATACTTGGAAAAAAAGAAAGAGAGAGAAAGCAATATTCTTACAGGTCTGTGGCTCTTACTTTAAATGCTACAACTTTTAGCCAAAATCTATCTGGACAAAATCACTGCAGACATATAAATTTGATTTTCAGATCACATTAATAAATACAAGGCATTTGGGGAGGACACATCTGCCAGAATGAAGTGCTGACGGAGCTTTGTCTGTCTGGTTCAATGGTCTCTCCGGGTTTCGAACAACACCCAGCATATTAGGAAAGCATGCACTGGAATATATTCTGTTTTCATCTACTAGTATTTCAAGCCAGACTACTCTTTTATATATGGAAGAACATTGCGAAAACCTTAGTAAACCCAAATGTTCAGGCTATGGGTTGAAAGATGCCAAACCAGGTCGATGCCAATGAATTTTCTCTGGGGCAAAAGGACCAGAGTGGGAATATACAAATCCTGCTGCTTGCACTACTCTCTTTACCCCTTGCCTAAATTCCCGGAAGAAAATGATTACTCACTCACCTCCACTGTTACACAAGTAAATGAAAGCTGCAGCCAGAGCAAGGCCATGAGAGCTGGTAGGAATGGGGTGTGGTGGTCATAATAGCAGGGCAAAGGGTATCTTCAGCAAAGAAATAAGAGGACTTAATTGCCAGTGGCCAATTATAGGAGGTGGTGACCAGTTCTCTACCTGAGCTCTTAGACCTATGTAACTGCTATTGTGTTCCTGCCATCTGGTAAATAAAGAACATTCCGTAACTGCTGGGAACTGGGCTGGAGGGAGAGTCCTTGCTGAGCGTGTTTACCGACAGCATGTTATATTTGGAGCCCTGTGCTACACAGGTACAAATTCAACAGATGACCTGGCACGCGCCTCAGACCATTGGCTCTCAACAGGGGTAGATTTAATCCTCCCACCTCAGGGATATTTGGCAATGTCTGAAGATGGGTTTATCACACAGAGGAAGGGGGTATAGGCATCCAGTGGGTATAGGCCAGGGAAACTGGTGAACATCCTACTACTATGCACATGTCAGCCCCCACAACCAAGAAACTTCCAGCCCAAGATGTCAGTAGTGCCGAGGATGAGAAAAGCTGTCTTAGTGGAACTCACAAATAGAGGTCTCATGGTGGGCAGAGTGGGGGTAGGGTCAAGGGAGACACCAAATTGTCCTGGTTTTTATCAGTGGGATTAAGGAAGACTGGGGAAGGGCATTATTCCTATAACCTCTCCTAGGTTCAGATGAAGAGATTCTGTGGCGATGAATGTGGAGCCTGGGAGGAGCATTGAGTCTGACTGCCATGTTACACAGAAAGCTGTCTGCCTGACACTACACCAGCTTGGCAGGCTAGGACACCAGGCACAGAAACGCTTCTCCCTGAAGACAGACACCACAAATGGGATTCTAGGACTTAACCAACAGACAAGCTGGGCTACAGTAACAGAAGGAATTCGTTATTAATGTGTTTTTTTCTTCTTTTTCTTTTATTGTATCTATATGAGAATATGGATGTTAGTGGAACATATTTCACAATATATGTAATTCAAACCATCATGCTGTTTGCCTTAAACTTAATGTATGCCAATTATTTTTCAATAAAACTGGAAAAAATATACTTCTATTTGGTGAATTGGAAAGGCCACAAAGCAAACTTTAATAAATCCCAAATAAATAAAAATAAATAATAAATATAATATTCTTGGATCACAATTCAATAAAAATACATTTTTTAAATGTCAGAAGGAAAAAGTCCTCCTGGCTAGAGATGTTAAAATCTTAATCTTAAGAAAACTGTTGATGCAGGGGTACTTCAAATAAATATGATAATATGTGTAGAAAAGAATAACAAAGGAAATAGTATATGTCAGAATCTCTGAGATACACATAAAATGGTACCCAGGGGAGCATGCATAATATATATTTTTAAATATCCCAATTCTAATTTTACTCTTTTTGTATATTATTCATGTAACAATTTGTAGTACTTATTGATATACCTTTATATGTATTTGCTCCCACATGCATATACAAGTACATAAATATACAAATAAGCAGGGATTAATTTGCAGTCTTTAATTATAGTTTTTAAAAAAATATATTTTATTGATTTTCTACAGAGAGGAGGGGAAAGGGATAGAGAGTTAGAAACATCGATCAGCTCCTCCTGCACGCCCCCTCCTGGGGATGTGCCCGCAACCAAGGTACATGCCCTTGACCGGAATCGAACCTGGGATCCTTGAGTCCGCACGCCGATGCTCTATCCGCTGAGCCAAACCGGTCAGGGCTTTAATTATAGTTTTAAAATATAATTAAGTTAGTAATAAAGTAAAACAATGTAGATGACATTAATGTTCTTGAATAGTTGCCTGCAGACAGACAGCTGAGATACGAATAATGACTATTAATGACCATTAGCCTTTATGTGCATATAAGCACTTATGCCATAAGTTCTTACCAATTGCTGCCTTTTTATAGACAAAGAAACTGAGGCTCAGAGAGAAGTGCTTCTTGAGAGTCACACAAAGAGGAGTGTAGAGCCGGGATTTAAATTCAGACTCTGTGTGTTCCCAGAAAATGGTTTAGTTTTTGACCCAGACTGCCTTGTTTTTGTTTGGGGTTGGTGCAGGACAGAAACATAATGAAAAAGTTAAAACTAGCCACCCTTACTCTAAAATGAAAAAGTTGAATATTCACAGTATTTAAAACAATATACAAGATACTGTCCTGATGAGAAGAGAGAAAATAGGTTCTTTGGAAGTGTTTTATAAACTTCTTATGGAAACACCCCGTCAAATAGTCTATCGGAATGGAGGAGAAGGTATGCCCTGGAAATCTTTAGAGAAGTCACTATAGGTGACAGGAAGTAACACAGAGCACGTATTTGCAACAGCCACATTACAACACTCAAGTGCCACTGCACTGGTGCACAGGCCTGGTGCGTGGGGTTTTCTACATACGGGGATAATGCCACGCAGTGCACGTGTAAACAGTCTCCTTTTGCACAGCAGGCCTTTAAGTAACTCAACATACTGACATCTTGAAGAGAAAAATAACAACATATTCCTTTTGAGGGGTTTATCTGTGTCAGGCACTTAGTGCTAAGTTCTTTACATGCATTATCTTATTTAGTTCTCCACAACTTTATGAGATTTTGTTTCTCTCTGCCATTAAACTTGAGACATCTGCCTCTACAAGTGCCTTGTCAGCCAGTTTAAAATATAACAAATGGATCCAAATGATATCATATGCTTACAGTGTATAAAGAACTTATCCTCTAGGAACTGAAATCTGAAAAGATACATGGGACATAAATAACACTCTTTATAGAAATCTAGAACTACTGTAATTTTGGAATGCCAGATTAAAAAACATTAGATATTATTTAGATATGGGGGAGAAAACCTTTTCCAGGCATTGCTTGATTTTAAAAAATTCATTATAGAAAGAAAGAAATAGGTTCACCTGAGGGTGAACTATAAATATTACGTAAATATAAATAAAAGACACTGAAGTGGGAATCCAGTAGTGGAGAAAGGAATATGACAGAGGAAAAGAAGGTATTAAATAAAAGGTGCCCCCAGTGAAAGCTGTAACAAGGTTCAAGGTGGTGAGCATTTTGGAAGGGTTTTCAAGTGAGTAGTGGCACGGTTAAAACATCACTTGAGAAATAGGATCATGGCCCAAGTGTTAGGGCAAAGGTAAATATGCCACTGATTACTACTGAGGCTGCACAAAGGCAAGCGATTGTACAACAGGCGCAATATTACCTACTGGTAAGTCTATTTCATCAAGATTCTTAATTTCTCAAAATCCTACTGACTGAAACCCAAAGAGCCAGAGAGGGAGTAGACATGAGATAAGCAGATGCACTTACAGGCAAACAGAATCAAAATACCCTGGTTTCTCTCAAGGGCCCATTTCTCAAGATAGTAGGGTTGGGTCCATGGTATAATTTTAGATCTAAAAATAATACCAAACATGTTTTCACAAGAGAGACTGTTAGTGTCTGATAGTTCTAAGCTTGGAAGTGCTAATGGGTCTCCTTATGATGGAAAAAATTTAGGCAAAAATGAGTCATCTCCGCTGCCTTTAGGTCCAGGAAGAGCACTTGTTTTTTTTTCAGGGACTCTGTATAAGAACAGGTGGCACAAATTCAAGTGGTAATAAGTCATCCAAATGCTGCTTCTACTTCTAACCCACCATGTTTTACTGCCTCATTTGGAGAAAAGGGAACAGGGGGCAAGAGGATCACATGAGAAGTCCCAATAGCTTCCTGTCTTGGCAATATGGCAAGCAAAACAAATACACAAAAAAGCAAAACTTGTCTGCCAGTCCTATTAACACACATCAATAAAGTAAACAGGTCCATAAACCTTGGTTATATAAGGCCCAGTAATTCACTCCATCACTAACTATAACTTGATTTAATTGTTTCTGTTAGCATTAACTTCACCGAAAATATCAAATGTTGACCGAACAAGCAAGCATATCCCTGTTCTTTAGACAATGTCACTGTGCACTGAACTGGTATGCTGCTTACCGTGGTCCAAGACATAAAATACATTGTTCTTCCCGCTGCATTTTCTCCAGGGCTTTGTCAATTCCGATTGGAATGTCGTGGTCTTCTCCTTCGCCAACAATGAAAACCACATCTCTGCAATCAAACATCCTTTCGCCACAGCGGCCTTCCAGGTGGACTGAGGGAGAGGAGACAGGCAGTCAACCAAGCTGTTCCTTAGGACTGGCGAACTTAGGGAAGTGATAAATGAGTGTTTCCCCTTCTCACTTCATCTAGAGCAGAGGTTCTCAACCTGTGGGTCGAGACCCCTTTGGGGGTCGAACGACCCTTTCACAGGAGTCGCCTAAAACCATCGGAAAACACATATATAATTACATATTGTTTTGTGATTAATCACTATGCTTTAATTATGTTCAATTTGTAACAATGAAAATACATCCTGCATATCAGATATTTACATTACGATTCATAACAGTAGCAAAATTACAGTTATGAAGTAGCAATGAAAAGAATTTTATGAAAAACAAAAATAATAATTTTATGATTGGGGGTCACCACATCATGAGGAACTGTATTAAAGGGTTGCGGCATTAGAAAGGTTGAGAACCACTGATCTAGAGATATAATGGTATGTGTTGTGGAAGCTTAGTCTATTCATTCTGAAATTTAAGAGCAATCATGTTTCTTCCTGTTTTAAGCTTAAACTTCGAATTACTGATAACTATATCAATATGATAGCTTAGTGAATAATAAAAGTATGGAAAATAGGTTTAATTGAAACCGACTAAATGGCAGAGGTTTCCTCAGAGGATCAAGAAATACTATATTAATGAATAATTATCAAAATGACACCAATTTAATATCAAATATGTAATGGCTTAAACATTTGGAACTGTACCTTGCTTTGGATACTAGGATGAAAAACTGAATGACCATTTCCCAAGGTGTACTGGTTAATAATGGCGGATTTTGTAATCAAAGAAAACACAATAATTTCAAGAGAAACATCAAAAGTGCTTTATTCAAAGTAATGTCCATCACTAGCTATACATTTCCCCCATCTTTCAGGTAATTTGTGGATACCGTCCCAATAGAACTTTTCTTGTTTTGAGGCAAACCATTCAGAGACCCAATTTTCCACTTCTTCGTATGTTTTGAAGTGCTGCTCAGAAAGTGCATATGCCATCGATCACAGCAAGTGGTAATCTGAAGGAGCAAGGTCTGGTGAATACGGCAGGTGGGTTAATACTTCCCAGGCAAGATCTTTTAACATGTCTTTAAATGGTTTTGAAGTGTGTGATGGTGCGACATCATGAAGCAAAATGACTTTGCCGTGTCTTCTGGCCCATTCTGGTCGTTTCACGATCAAAGTGTGGTTTAAATTGATTATTTGTTGTTGGTAGCATCAGTATTAACGGTTTCACCTGGTTTAAGAAGCTCATAATACACCACACCTTCCTGATTCGACCAAACGCAGAGCATTGTCTTCTTTCCGATGCGATTTGGCCTTGCAGTCGATGTTGATGGTTGACCTGGATCAACCCATGATTTTGTGCGTTTGGGATTCTCAAAATAAATCCACTTTTCATCGCCAGTCACAATTTGATGCAAAAATGACTTTCTTTCATGCTGTTGAAGCAACATTTTACTGATGACTTTTCAGTTTTCCATTTGTCTTTCGTTCAGTTGATGTGGCACCCATTTTTCTGCATTTAAAATCTTTCCCATTGCTTGTAAACAAAAGGAAATTGTTTGCTGAGCAACGTTTAATCTTTCTGCAAGTTGTTTTTGAGTTTGACATGCATCTTCATCCCATAATGCTTGAAATTGTTGGTCTTCAAACTTTTTCGGTTGACCTGGATGTTCTTTGTCTTTCACATCGAAATCATCACTTTTAAAGTGTTTAAACCAGCGTTTACAGTATCTTGATATGGAGCATGTTCACCATAAGCTTCCCGAAGTATACAGTAGCTTTCAGTAGCACTTTTCTTCAAAATAAAGTAATGAATTAAAACTTTCCGCAAATCCTCTTTTTTTGGCATGAAATTTGACATTTTTAAAAATTTTTTTAAAAAATATATTTTATTGATTTTTTATAGAGAGGAAGGGAGAGGGATAGAGAGTTAGAAACATCGATGAGAGAGAAACATCAATCAGCTGGCTCCTGCACACTCCCCACTGGGGATGTGCCCGCAACCAAGGTACATGTCCTTGACCGGAATCGAACCTGGGACCCTTGAGTCCGCAGGCCGACGCTCTATCAGCTGAGCCAAACCAGTTAGGGCGAAATTCGACATTTTTAAGTGTAAAAATATCTATGATGTCAACACCTTCAGCAAATTTGACATATGAAGTTTTGAAGCTTGCTGTCAATACAACAAAACAGCATACAAATCAAATCGAATATATACCAACATATGCATACTCCATCTACTGAAAAAAATCTGCATTATTAACCGGTACACTTGGTATATACTAGAGGTCCGGTGCACAAAATTTGTGCAGGGGGGGGGGGGTTGTCCCTTAGCCTGGCCTGCACCCTCTCGCAATCTGGGACCCTTCAGGTAGGGTCCGTAGGCCTGGCCAGCGATCAGGGCCTATTGGGGTTCTCCTTCCCCCAGATGCTGGCAGCTGGACCCACCTCTGCCGCTGCCACTGCTTGCCATCTGTGGGGTGTGATCGCTTTGGCTGGCTTGGGCCTCCCTCTGTGGGGCGATCTATCATGGGGCCACCAGATCAATCACCCTGCAGAGGGAGGCCCCGCCCACCTGCTGCCAGCCTGGTAGCCTAGGCCTCCCTCTTTGGGGCAATTGATCACGGGGCTCCGTGATCGATCATCCAACAGAGGGAGGTCCCGCCCACCTGGCCAGGGCTCTGCGCTCAATCGCCGCACAGAAGATGGCCTGGGCCTCCCTCTTTGGGGTGATCACGAAGCCCCCTCCCATTGATCGCCCCACTGGCTGGTGGTCTGGGCCTCCCTCTAGGGCAATCAATTGCGGAGTCCCCCCATTGATCGCCCCGCAGAGGGTGGCCTCGGCCTCCCTTTGCAGGGCGATGGTGGGGCACCCTGACCAATCGCACTGCACCAGCCTTGGCTGGCCTGGTGCCAGTGTATATAATAGTGTGGTTGTCCGGAAGGTCATCCAGACAGTCGTTCTGTTGTTTGGTCATTAAGTCGATTTGCATATTACATTCTTATTATTATAGATATATCTATATATATATAAAAGCCTAAGTGACCATTCGACTGGTAGCTATGATGCACACTGACCACCAGGGTGCAGACGCTCTGACCAGTAGGTTAGCTTGCTACTGGGGTCTGGCCGATGGGGACTGGGTGAGACAGGCCGGACACGCCTTGGAGCCCTCCAGCGGATCCTCCCCAGCCGGCGAACCTCCCACGGTACCTCCCTGGCCCCAATTGTGCACCAGTGAGGACCCTTGGCCTGCCTGAGCCCTCTTGCAATCCAGGACCCTTCGGGGAATGTCCGCAGGCCAGGCCAAGGGACCCCACCGGTGCACGAATCTGTGCACCAGGCCTCTAGTATTTGAATAAAAATGGAAAACACAATGGCAACATCATCAACAACTAACATAGCCATATCCCTTGGTGGAGAAATAAATGTAAAGTGTGACAATCAGTAAGTACTCTACTATACCATCACAAACCAAATTACTTAACCATTGCCTCTAAAATGTTAAGCTGAAGAGGTCAATTTCTTGGGGCCCAATTCCCCACTCCACTCACACACTCAGCTCGTTTTGAGGGTAATTTTATATTAGACAAGGGGCTTTTATGGTTTTTCCAAGACAAAATAAGAAAAATGCATGTATTTTTTTCTTAATCGATTAGACTCCCCCCCCGCCCCGCCCCAGGATAAGCAATACTCTCAAACTTTCAACTACTTTTTTTTTTTAATAGTAAGGGTTATTCATTCCTTACCATTTAGATCTTTGACTCAATAAGAAAAAATCAATTGCTTGTATTATTGCACAACAATATAATATCTTGTCTTTCATAAGAAAATTCTTTATTCCTACTTCTGTAATCTAATGGCCCAGATTAAAATGTAACGATTTCCTAAAATGCTTACTTTTTTTTTTACTGGTTGCTCTACTGTACATCAATAACTTGCTTTAGAGACTTAAAAAAAAATCACTCATTCTGTTATAGTCATTCCATGAAACAACTATTTTCCAAATACAAATTTAATTCCAACTTACTCTATTTTTGAACTACATGATTTCAGGTCCTGTGAAGCTCTAAAATTCTATGGTTCTGTGACCCAATAATATAACTCTCAATATAGGCCACAAATCAGTTTCAAAGGTAATTCCCATAGTTAATCATTTGATCAGTTACTTTTTAGCCTGGGCCTGAGAAATGAGAGAAACCCTGAAGACACCAGTTCCATTGACACGAGGAGCCACAATGTCTCATGGACATTTATGCCTTTCTAATTCACTAGGATTAATAGCATCCTGATTTGTTCCCACTGCAGACTTAGGATGGAGTCGAAGCTTGGCCAACTAGAAAAGGTTTGACTTTCAGGGTACAGCTGGCATATAGGAATTTTGCTCTTTGTCCCATACTCATAAATGCTGATGGTGCTATTCCACAAACTTTTGGAACGCTCTAGATCAGTGGTTCTCAACCTTCTGGCCCTTTAAATACAGTTCCTCATGTTGTGACCCAACCATAAAATTATTTTCGTTGCTACTTCATAACTGTAATGTTGCTACTGTTATGAATCGTAATGTAAATATCTGATATGCAGGATGGTCTTAGGCGACCCGTGAAAGGGTCGTTCGACCGCCAAAGGGGTCGCGACCCACAGGTTGAGAACCGCTGCTCTAGATAAAACGTAATCAACTTGCAACACATTGAAAGTTCTTTTGAATTGGAAAATATCTGAAAAATAAATTCAACTTTATTATTTTCAAATGTATACATATACTAGAAGTATAGATATTTTTACTAGAGTAAATGCTGATGTTTCTAAAGTTGAGGGTTCTGAAAAGTTTGCGTTAAATATTTTTAAATCTGCCCAAGAAATTGAATTTAGATGAATGTGATGACACTTTTCCTGACAGATTTGCTGAGTGAGCAGTGAGGTTCAGCCCCCGTGTACTGTGGGATTCTTCAAGTATTGAGATACCTTAGTAGCTCACAACTGAGTTGACAAATCTTTTTGTCTGAGGTTTATTGTTAGAAGTATCTTCCTCCCTAAAGGAGAGTACATTTGTGGGGGAGGAAACTATCAGTACATTCATTGTGGTTTTTGGTTGATCAAGTTTAAATGTGTTTTCAAAACAGGAAACGCAGAGACTGCAAGGACTCCTGCCTGTGTGTCACGTCCCAGGCCTGGTTTGGGGCTCGATGCATGTATTAGATATAAAAATTTCACAAATAACTCCAGAAGTTCTCCTTACATGTGATATCTGATGATATTAGGAAAAAAAGATTGGCTACTAATAAACATGTTGGGAAAGGTAAGTGAAGCAAACAAACAAAAAAAGACAAGTTCAAGTCAAATGATAGTGAAGGCATAATTAAGAAAGCAAAAACAAAAAAAACCCACATTCATTGCAGCTGGCCTAAGACAATAAATGATAGAACCAATGTTTGTTTCTGGTAAATCGCACTCTTCTAAGTTGGACCTGAGCAAGCACTACATATAGTACCATAAAATCTAAAACTGATAAACTATCTGTGTGTGCCCCCTTGTCCCCCAGTTTGTATGTATATATAAAACCACCATCTTTAATACTGATGCTATCTGGGATGTTAGATAAGAGGAGGTATTATAGCCTCAGAGAGTATATAGCCCATTGATTCTTTACATCTACAAGTAGCAAAGGCTATGGCTCCTTAACTGGCTTCTAAACTTGGAACACTGGTGTGACACGGACTCACACACCACCTCCGAGCCACAGCAGCCACACAAATGTGTGCCTATGGCTATAGTAGGGGCCCCTTTTGTGGTGACAGAGGCAGACATGCCTATCTCCTACAGAGCCAGTAACTATTTTTTAAATTGTCTCAACAATTGCTACTAAGGACTACTCTGGCAGCTCTGGCTGTGGAGGACCTGCGGTTGCTTCTGACCTTGCATTTCTTAATGCAAATACTCACTTAATAAATATTTAATAATAACCACCATGACTCACTGGGAGCGCAGCCCCTAGGGCTCAGGAGGTCTGTTGCTAATTCCAACCAGTATAATTTATGGGAAGTAAACGATCTATGACGTGCCCAAAGAGAAGAAAAGTACATACAGGATGCTTCTACTTAGGATTTTTTTGGTAGGGAAGAAATACACAAGTTAAAAAGGGACAACATTTTCTTTTGTCTTAAAGTCTATGCAACTTAAAGGAGGGTGGGGGAGGGGGGAAGGTCCTCCAATCCCCCCAAAGTCAAACCAAACCAAATTACTCCAGTTTAGCTATGCAATCCGAGCTGTAACCACATCAAGTGAGCCCCGTCTGCTGCAAAACATCACTTAAGCTGGAGCTCTGACTTATTGTTCTCTGACTGCCCTGGAGCAATTTTGTTTTGAAGAGCACAGAACACCCTGTTCTGAATGTGGCTGGCACATGAACTCAATGTGCTGACAGCAATTTGTACTCTGATTAAACCGTGTGTGTGTGTGTGTGTGTGTGTGTGTGTGTGTGTGTGTACTGTAGTAACAAAAACTGGAATGCAAAAACTGTATAATTTGTATTTTAGGAAGCAAAAGTGAGAAAGGCTCCACAACCCAAAAATAAAGTGCTGTAAACGCTCCAGCCTAAAGACGCAGCTCTGGTGAGTGTCTGTTTTCCCTTTTCTAATTATAGTTGTTGGTGTCTGATAGCTTTGCACTCATTCCCAAAACAATTACTGGGTCATGGGGATCTAAATGGGAATGTTGTAATAGCATTACCACTAGACAAGATGGGTCATTTGGCCAGAGAAAACCAGGTTGTGGCAGGTTACTCCCACTTGCCAACGTTTTTTTCTCTGCTGCCTAATTCATGCCAAATGAGCTTCTCTCTGCCTGTGTCTCCTGCCTAATAGAGCAAGAGCATCCAAGAGACAAGGGGACCTTAACAACCCTGTGAAAAGGCAAATGAGGAAGCAGAGATGGATTTCTAGAGTTAGGAGAGCATATTTAATCACTGATTAGAAGAGAAACTGTTCCCACCAGGCATGGTGGTCAATTTGGGGGCAAACTGCCTCCTTTCTTCCTCTGCACCATTTCGTACTATTCGAGATGAACAAATGCCTCTGCAAGTTTGCTTATGAAACTGAGGGACAGGTCCTAACTGACAGCAGGCTTGGAAGCTGGCTACTTGAATAGAATAACATTTATACAGATGACATATATCTTAGTCTAAACAGGAAGCATACTCATAGCAATACATTCTACACCAACACAAATCCTCACCACTCTACACAGGTTAGCACTTTAATCAGACCTGGGTTCCAGTCCCAGTTTGCCATTTAACAACTGTGGCTTTGGGCAAGTTCATTTAAATTGTCTGACTCAGTTTCTTCATGCATAGCATGGGGGAAAGGATATTAGCTAACTCATAATTGTTGCGAGGATTCAATTAAATACTGAATAAAGCTTCTAGCCCCATACCTGGCATTCATTCATATGTTGGGGTGTCTACTGTGTGAAAACACTGTTACATATGAATACACAAAGATAAGCTCAATTAATGTTAGCTGCAATTAGTGGCAAATTATACCAGATAAAACATACTTTAGAAGTTGGTAAAGGAAACCAGTTAATGCAGTGGTTCTCAACCTTCCTAATACCGCGACCCTTTAATACAGTTCCTCATATTGTGGTGACCCCCAATTTCATTGTTACAAATTGAACATAATTAAAGCACAGTGATTAATCACAAAAACAATATGTAATTACATATGTGTTTTCCGATGGTCTTAGGCGACCCCTATGAAAGGGTCGCGACCCACAGGTTGAGAACCACTGAGTTAATGGCTCCACAGAGAAAGCTGTTAAATTGTGAATAAAACTTAAAAGTAGGCAAAGGCAATGTCTTATGCTTCTTTTGTACCTCACCGTGCCCAATACACAGTTCAGGGCCACAAAGAAAATATTTTTTTAATGATTAATCTGAAAACGGAACAGTAGGGAAAATGGTAGTACTTTTCACTCATTTATAGGAATTTTCCTTTTTGATATATTAGTCAGTACTCCTATTTTTAATAAATTCCAAGAGCTATTTAAATTCTTTACTTATATGGAGCTTTTGTCTTTTAATATTATTCTAAAGTAAATGATCCATTGGCTGGATTTTTTAGTAACAAAAAAAGACTATTTTCTACTAAGATTTTACTCTACCTTAAGACTTAAAGATACCTTTTTTTAGAAGGAGCTATATAAATCCAAAATATTTGAAAGAATAAATACTGTCCATTTTAGACCAAGTGTCATAGTACATTATTTTGTGAAAACATAAAAGAAAATGGTTTCAAGAATTTTCTCTCTCCTACTGGACAAAATTTGGCAGGACATTGATACTTGAAAAGTAAGTAAAAAACAAAACTAAAAAAGAACTCATAGCTCTTATCAGGTCTCAAGATAGGCACATAAAACCATTCCTCTATTTTCAATTTTTGGTGCTATTTTGTTTTTGGTGTTTTATTTACAAAGACTACAGAGCTAGATTTTGTTCTCATTTTAACCTTGTGAGAATCCTATCCCTATTTTTTGTAATCACTGATGATTTGTTTTATTCCTACCATCTTATTTTAGGTTTTCTATATAAATTTTGTTATTTTTCTTTTATTACTTTTGCTAGATTTATACAATTTTTCTTGATCCTCTACTTCCCTACTCCCTATTGGGTGGATGTGTAAGTTCTACATGCTATTCTTACTAGTATCTAGCATTAATTTTATTTTAATCTGGCCTTACTGGCTTCAGCCTGGGAGCAAAAGCCAGTCAGACCCTAAGTAGGAATTCTCAATCCTTGGCTGCAAACTAAAATCACCAGGGGAGTTAAAAACAAACAAACGAACAAACAAAAAAACAACCACCCCCAAACAACACACACACACACACTTGTGCCTGAGGAGTTCCATCCTTTGGGGTTTGAATCTTTTGTTTAACTGGTTTGGGCTGAAGCTTGGGCATCAGAATTTTAAAAGCTCCCCAGGTAATTCTAAATTCAGCCAAAGAACTACTCCGTTAGAGGTTTACTGGCCCAGCTGTTCCATATTGTTTTATAACAACCCTGAGGATTGCCCCATAGCCTGCTTCGGCTCCCTCACACCAGCTGCCTGTGGGCTTGGAGTTCTGCCCAAGCTTGTTGAGAAGAACGGCATGTACCTCTACAGAGGTCTTCTCTACACCTGTTTTGGGTTGAGTTTCCCAACCCTAGTTTCCATCAGTCCAGTTTCATCTAGTTTACATATTCCAGAATTTTCCTAATTTCTGATTCACTTCTTGTATTCTTCCTGGATTCCAGCACTAACTAATGTGGATTTCTTCCTCTTTTTTTGCAATAATTCCTCCTCTCTCACTTCAGTGGGATTTGGAGAGGAAAAGGAGGTGAGAGGAAAGGGTACTCCAACAATCTGAATCCCGAAAACCACTCTTGAAATTTTCACATTTGAAAATTACTGCCCATTGTCTGCATTCTTTGCATGTGAATGTGGTTGAAAGCACTGTGAGGCACCAGGCAAGAGAGCCACATCCAGCCAGCACCTCCATGTACCAGCCACAAGCACTGAATTTAACAAAGCAGAAGATGGGAGAGACCAGGAGTTGGGAGAAGAGCTGGTGGCTATTTAGAGCAGTGATTCCCAAAGTGGGCGCTACCGCCCCCCGGTGGGAGCTGCAGCGATCCAGGGGGGCGGTGATGGCCACAGGTGCATTGGGGGGCGATGAGTAACTGCTATTAAAATTAAAAAAAAATTAATTTCCAGGGGCTGAGTAATATTTTTTCTGGAAAGGGGGCGGTAGGCCAAATAAGTTTGGGAACCACTGATTTAGAGCCTGAGGTCAGTCAGACTGGATTTTCTGTGAAAGCAAAGCTTAAAAGTAACAATGTAGTCACTACTGGCAATTAAACTAAAGTGCCATGACTAACAGTCATCATAACAATGTCAATTAGAATACGTTAGAACACAGTGACTATTTTAAAATGGAAAAAGGACAGCATTGAATAAAAATTACAAGATTGTCATCTTAATTGAGGTAAGAAAAACACACTGGAATAGTGATTGTTAATATACTGAAAATGATTTTCTACCATTCCTATAACTTTTATAAACATTTAGAATCTTATCAAAGAATGTTTAGGGCTAGTGGGACCATAGGAACCAAGAGGTCTACCTGCCTGCATCATTGTATAGGAAGGAAGCTGAAGCTCAGAGAGGCAAGATCCAGAGAGAGCCAGCTGAAGCCAGAATCCTATCTCCTGACTCCTGGTCTAGGGATTTCTCCAACATACATCTGAGCTCTTCTTCATTTAGTCTAAATCTTATTGTGAATGATAACTATCTAAACACTTCAATTGCAATAGTACAATAATAGTATTTTTAGTATTTCCAATTTTAGAACAACTAATTTGGACTAATTTGCCAGACTCATAAAAATGAAATATGGGTTCAAAGTAATATTTGAAAATAAACTATTCTAGTTTACAGTTTTAAATGAACGCTTTATTTTCAAATGGAACTTTTATAATAGTTTATGTTGCCATCCTTGTTTAGTGATTTGATTTTTTTTTTCTGAATGGAAGTAGTCCTGTTTTCTCACACTTCTTTTTGAAGTAGTTCAGCTCAATAAATGGCATCTTTCCAACATTTATACATGCAAAATGCATTTTCTGAGTAAGGCTCTGTCGGTGATGCTGGAAACAGGATGAAGAAGCTTCTAGTCAAGCACTCACTGTGTACTGAGGAAATGGGCAAATGCTGGTTGCAATGTTAACTGATGAGCAGTACTCAGTGGTGTACACAATGTGCTCTGGGAGGAAGAATGACCAGTCATCCAAGACCTCAGTAGTATCCTCACTCTCAACTTGGCAAATGAAAAATAGAATAGTCTCAGGTCACTCAATAAATGGCAAAGCAGACCTTGAACCCAGGTCTCCTGATGTAGAACAGAATGAACACTCTCATCCAATTCTGATCAAACTTAAATGATGAACTGTTTATCTTGATGACAGCCAAGGACATGGGTTGGAAAGGCCTGAAGGGCATTACAATCTATTGCTCTGTTTAATAACTCCGTACCGGCAATTTAGAAAACTTCTTACTTTTCTTAGGATAATAAATCTTACCGTACAAGGTTATTGTGAGGAACATGTAAATAAACATATATGGCAACTAATACAGTTGTTAGCACACCAAGGAGTCCACAGAGTAAGAATTCCCTGATGGGTGGGATATTCTTTTGTTCATTTTGTGAGTCTGGAATAGTACCTGGTACATACATGTTAAGTAAATATTTACTAAATGGAAGCATTATTCAACAAATGTCAAATTTAAACTATTGTTGATATATATTCACTATATTTATTTCTATAAACAAAGTTTTAAAAAGATATCTCCATTTCACCCACATAAATGGAACTCAACTGTTAAGGACTATTTTGCTCTCACATCTGCTTACTTTCTACTGTGGCTCCCTCGTTTGGGTTTGAATAGCCTTCTCCTTTCTGTTTGATTCTTCGGATAATGCCTCCATCTTCAAATAAATCCTCTCCTTTGAAATCAAGGAGCTCAATCTAGAAAGAAGAAAGAAATTTGGCTGAGAAAAGATCAAACAAAGCTAATTTAATATACTTAAAGGGAAGGGCAACCAATTCTTTCATTTTACAAAAATAAAACTGTTTATATTTATCTATGCATCTTAGTTATTGGAAGAGTGGGAAAACAAGAACATTGCACTTTTCAATACCTGGAAAGAACCTTCATGTAATGATAATGTCTGGGACCACATCCTGTGGGGAGCAGAGTAAAGACAGACAGGAAATACTAGGAAAAATGCCTGATGGGCAAAAAGCCAGAACTACAAAGTGCTGGCCGAAAACCATTTTGTCTGACTTGAGACACCACCACTTTTCCATCCCAGATTCATGGAATCCTCTTCCTAAAATGTAAGAATGAATCCTATGAAACCAGGCCTGTATTTTACCTAGTTACACTGTTTCAGACATTTATTTCCCCCCTCAATTTTAAAATCAAGTTTGGTCAAATGCAAGTTTGGTCAAATGCGTGTAACTCAACACACAATCAATAACATGTTATCACCCCTACTGTGTCTAATGAGATGTTATGAAAATGCCTTAGAATTTGATTTAGGCCCTTGCTGGTGTGCTCATTGGTTAGAGCATCAGCCTGCGCCTTGAAGTGTCACAAGTTTGATTCCTAGTCAAGGGCACATACCTGGGTTGCAGGTTTGATCCCCGGTCCTGGTCAGGGCACATGTGCGGTGGCAACTAATCGATGTGTATTTCTGACATCGATGTGTCTCTCTTTCTCCCCCCCACTTCCATCCCTCCTTTTCTCTCTCTCTAAAAATCAATGGAAAAAAATTGATTTTTAGAGAGAGTGAAATCCTTATCTTCGGGTAAGGATTAAACTAAATAAATACAAAAACCAAAAACTTGATTTACGCATATGTCAACATTTATTTCCCACATTTCCATCCTATCTTCTGGTCAATTTTAGTATGTCATACTCACACTACTGACCAGAACCTTTATTGCTAAGCCTGATCGCTTGTTTATTTGGATATGATCTTTTTGTGCCAGAGACACATTTCTAAGAAAGCACTGGCACACACCCCTTGGATTTGTGGGAAACAATTCAAAAAGTCAAGCTGCAGAAGAAATAAATTGGATCTCATTCTCAATCGCAAGCTCAGCTCCTCGTTCTACTGCCTGCTGCTTTAGAACCAGCACTACAGCAGAGCAGATGCTAACAAGGCAGCATCACACACATACTTGCCTCAAAAAAGAGAGTTGCATTCGAGGGAATTTTGGGGACACTGCCAGCGGAGCCATATGCATATTCTGGTTTGCACAGTAAATGACACACCTCTCCTTTCTTCATGGTAGCCACTCCAATGTCCCATGCCCTGATAACTTGGCCTAAGAGAAAGAAAAAAGTGAGGGTCTGAAACTGCAGTTACGTGAGGTATTAAGTTGGTTTGCTGATGTGAGGCTTAGCACAAGTGACTCCATTTTGGACCAGTTGTCTCTCCTTTTTAACAAAAGCTATATATTTTTTTACATATTTTAAAAAAGTAACTGTCATTAACACAAAAGTTGAAACAAATTTCCAATTCTTTACACTACATACTCAGGTAGGAAGGGTTACAAAAGAACTCAGTAAAAGCTACACACTGAGAAATAAATTTATTTTTAAAAAATTTTAGTTTTATTGACTTCGGAGAGGGAGAGGGAGAGGGAGAGGGAGAGGGAGACGGGGGGGGGGGGGGG